TTGTTTTAAGATATTTTTAAAATTTGCCTCCTTCCCACGTTCAAACTCAATTTTATCTTCAACCTATAAAGGGTCAAGTTTGAACTGAACCTATCTTGAAAAAAAAAAAGAGTCAAATATAATTTTTAATTTGATTCCGACATGACGTTGGAATGTATAAAAAATAATAGAGGTGAAAATGAATAATTTTTAAAACATAGGAGATAAAAGATATAAAAAATTATATTTATAGTAGAATTGAAATTTATAATACATAAATAAAATATACAAGTTTCAGAATAAGTATATAAAAGACGAGATAAAATATTATGTCTACTTTTTTATGTCTATCCTATTTACTCATTTTCAATATTATTGGATTAAAATATCAACTAACATTCACTGTTTCTTTCTCCTCTTGAGATTATGATCTTACGATGTTGAAAATGAGTAGGTAAAATAAATATGAAAAAAAGTAAGCATAATATTCTATCAAAGAGAAAATAAACTTATTTATGGTCATCTCAATAAAGGGATATGTTATACTTACTAAGTTACTATCTCTTATTATTAACTTTATTATTATTAAATTAAAATTAAATCAACGATTACAAAACAACATAAGTAAAGACTGTTGATTTGATTTTGATCAAACTATAACAAAGTTGATAATAAGAAAAAAGGATAATAAATAGGAGAAGGATATACTTACTACCAACAATATTTGTCACCCTTCCAACCAACTTAATCACATTGATTTCCGTCAATCTAACGATTATATTTTATTGGAAATTATTAGGTTGTACTAATTAATTAATTTTTAATAAATTATAACCGTTAAATTGACGAAAATTAACAATGATTAGATGAATGGTGAATATGATAAATATTTTTTATGATAAGTACATCTTCTCCTCAATAAATATAGCTTCCCCCGTCTTTTATACTTTCCAACTATTTTCTTCTCAATAAAGATTAGGTCTTTCATCCACCGCCAGAAGTCAAAAATTTCGAAGTTTGGTTGAATAGCCCATTGACTCTATATTCAGAAAACGACACCTTAACAATATCTCACTAATTCACAAATAAAACAGATCATGAACAAATTAATTCATTTGCCAGTTATGCAATCAATGAACTTAATTTCGATTTAAAACCTTAAACAACAACATCATAAGGAAACGTGCCCCTTAACATTTAAAACCTTAATTTTCCTAAAATCAATTTCGTCACGGAAAGGGCAATTAATTCAATTCCCGTTTCAATAATTAAATGTTACAATCCCTATGACTTCTTGTTCTATAAATTGGAGCCAATTCTTTTCATACAAAACAAAGAAAAACAAGTTAAGAGTAACTCATTTACTATGGAGAAAACAAAAACTACTTCGTTGCTTTTAGTTCTCATAGTTATGGCAATTTTGAATGGTACTGAGGCTGCAGGGAGAGGTCTCCCAGAGAAAGAAGGTCACGTGTACAAACCCCAAACTTTTACGTTCCCACCTTTGCCATTTTTCCCCCCGCCAATTTCTCCTACCCCGCCAAGTAATACTCCTCCGGGTTTTTGTTTGTTATTTCCTGGGCTTTGTTGGGGGCGCAAAGATCACAAAACCACCCAAACTTACAATGGTAGTCCAAAAGTTTAAAGTCCAAGTAATGGCCCAAATATTCCATAATCAGTGACAAAGCCTATGTGTTATAGATATAACTTTGTGTTAAAGTGATACCAAATAGCTAAATAAATTTCATGGGTTGATCACACCCTAGCTGCTTTGTTATGTCCTGTCTTGGATATCTATATTATATATATTTGATATGTATTTATGTTGTGCCATGTTATGGTTATGTGTTGTTTGAAATAAAAGTCCACAAGTGTTTCTTGTGAGATTGAGTCTTGAAGCATCGCAATATATAACATCCCCTTTTTTTATGTATATAAAAAGCAAATTTCTTTAGTTCCTTTATATTACAAGATAAAGAAACACAATATTACAAACTTGGAGTTTCAACCGTGAAATGAATCCATCCTTGAAAATCATTCATTTTGTTCTATTAAAAAAAGCTGCATATATAGAAAACATTTATCATTAACTTACATGTCATACTAAATCTCGTCATTTGTTTTTTTGACACAATAGTAAAAATTAAACACACGACTTAATACAAATTATCCCAACCCTCTCATCACTGGATCAAGTTATTCTATTTGCACCGAAATATTAACTATATGAATGAATTCACTATGTCATGTTTCAATGAGTATAATAACTGTATTTTGCGGTAAGAATTTATTTAAGTTTAAAATAGCTTAGCCGTATTAATTTGTTTTCATCTGAGAGGAAAATGCATCTTAGTTATATTTCGTATTAAAAAATAAATAAATCATGGGAAATATTTCGTATTATTTTTTTTTAATGATCGACCTCATTATTTTATATCTATTTTGCATAAATAATTATCTCATACAAGATAAATAGACCCCTTATGTTTAGTGTGTATTAAGTGTGCGATTCGATTATCTGTAATATCTAAAAAAAAAATAGACCCCTTAAATTAATGCACTTTTTTAACAGCATTGGATAAAAATGTCGCTAAACAACAAAACTTAGCTGATGTCCGGGTTTTTTTTATCCACGTGGCGTAGCTTGATTCCTCTCAATCAAATTGTTACAATTTTAAATTTAATTCTCTCAATGGTATGACTGTATAATGTTGTCATTACCAAAACTTTGTAGCTCGTTTTCCTTTTCTTTTTCCCAAATTCAGTGAAGACACAAAGATACGTAGAACTTGCATAAGCAAGAGACAAAAATTGAAGAAAATAACGACAAATATTAAAATAAAAATGATCCAATCAAAAATTAGAACATTATTTTGATTTGAGGTAGATTATACTTACAATTTTTTTTTACTATTCTTATAACTTTAACTATGTATTCTAGGAAGGTATTTGTACTCCTCAAAATACATAATTGATGTTATGAGAGTTGTAAATAAAACAAATTACAAGTATAACCCTTCATTTTTAATTTAGCTATGTATAAATTTTATAATTTTTCTATCTAGTTATATCTACATAAGTATGGTTTTTATAAACCAGTCACAATCTCTAAGGAAGATACACCCAATCTTAAGAAAAAAAATACAATGACAACAATATGTTATTTAGTAACTTGCACAACTAGAACTGTCAAAATAGATTAGTCCATTTTATTATAAGGTCTTAACCCATGTAGGTTAGGGAAAAAAAATCCACAAAAATAAAAAATTTGCATGGATAAAAAATCTCACAATTATAGGGGCTAGGGTAAAACTGTGGGGCTTTCAAAATTTTAACATTTTTTATTGGGAATGATTATACTTATCAGTAACTAAATTTATCATCTCTTATTACCTTATTAATAATTGTTGTATAGTGATCAACAAAACATGATGGAAAGAGTAAGTAGAGACGAAAAGTGGAGGAAGTCAAAAGAGATAATTTTTTTTTGCATCAAATGATATTCATTCATTTGATTTCATCCCACGATTACAAAAGAAATAGTAAAAGATGATAAACTTAGTGAGTGACAAATATAACCTCTCCCCTCAATAAAACACATAAAGCTACAGGGGTGTTTGGTATGGGTTAGCTAGGAAAATGGGTGGGGGAAAATATTTTCCCCGTGTTTAGTACGGGTAAAGGGAAAATATTTTCAGCAAATTTTTTTCCCCATCTTTTTTTTTTTAACTACACAATCGCTAAAGACTTTATCAACCCATCCCATAGGTTTTTTTCCCCACATACTCAGATTCCAATAACCAAATTTCGAGACACAATTGTCCTCGTACAATCATATCTAAGACCCATTTATAAAAAAATCTTACAACACATAAAGATAAAAACACTACATCGATATGCATTTTGTTCTTCGTCTTCGTTTCTTCAGTATAATCTAAACAAACAATACATGTTGGAAAACCCACAAAAAATAAAGGTAGATACACAGAATTTTCCATTTCCACAAGTGAGATTTTCTCTTCAGAAATTATAAGTGACATTTAACATTCACATAAGATTTTCTCCTTCCAACCACACAGAAATCATAAACCCAAAAAAATAAAATAAAAAAATCACGGAGCTAAACATTTAAGCAATGTTCAACTTCACGAAGTTTATGTTTCTTGAGTCCAAACAAATAACACTTCAGAAAAAACTCACAAAAATTAAAGCAGGTCAATGAATTTTCCATATTCCACAAAGAGAGCAAAAAGCGAATGGGTGTGGTGGCAGAGTAGAGGTGATCGAGCTGGAGGTACCGAATGGGTGTGCCACGGGTTGTGTGAACGTCGACGTTGGTGTCTTCTTCGGCACCTTCTTGAGGTTGAGGAAGGAATGCCATTTATGAAGAAGAAAGAGTGAATTTTTTTTTTTTGAGAATGTTAAACATGGTTATGAAGTGCTAAAACTTACGTTTAATGTGTTATCAAAAAAAAAAAAAAACTTACGTTTAATGATGTGATTCAATATTTTAAAATAATTGAATAATGAGTAATTTCATAATTTAAGTACACTTTCCCATCAATATTTCACAATCAAAATAACTCAACTTTTTCGAAAATATTTTTACCTACCAAACACATTTTCCTAACTTACTTGAGAAAAAATATTTTCCACCATATTTCGGGAAATATTTTTTTGTTCGATAATAAAAAATTTCTCCCATATCAAACTCTTCCTAAATGGTTTGAGTTGGGCCACTTTTTGAATAAAGACTAAGTCCATCCAAAGTCATATTCTGGCTGAGGCTTGGGCTCGGACTGGGCCAGTTGACCAAGTTATGATTGTTTTTTGTCCTTTCAAATAGACGACAATATTATTTAGGTCATGGCGTCGTTTTGAAAAAAGGCGTGGTGGTGGTGGTGTATAGCAAGTAATAGAATGAAGAGCATTTTGAATTTCTATTGATTTTGATTTGAACAGAGCATCGGTCAGACAGCAAATATAAACAAAACCCTTTTCTTTCGCTCTGCTGTTTCCTACGCATCAAGTGTGTGTGTGTGTGTGAGAGAGAGAGAGAGAGAGAGAGAAGAGAGAGTGTTCCAAAATGTTTAAGCTATCTCGCGTGCTGCCTTCAAGTTGCAGGTACTCACTACAAAGCAAACCTTGCTCACTCATCCATTACTTACTTTTTCCCTTTCGTTCCGTTTCAATTATCAACTGGGTTTTTTTACTTTCTAGACACCCCAATAATTTTCTATTGAAAATATAACTGTTGCCATGTTACATAAACATAAATGACACATAGAATGAGAATCTCACTCAGTGGACTATACTTATGCAAAACAACATATGCTTTTAATAATGTAAAAATCTACCTAGTAACATTATAAGGTACATTTAAGTTTTGCAATTTCTTAAAATTAGATGTTTTCACTTTCTTACTCATCACACACAAATTACTATTGTGAAGCAGGCATCAGCTATTGGAAGTGTTGTCGTCTAGGAAAGTTGAAGTTAGAGACTGTCTACGGCATCGGCATGATACCTATTCAGCTGGGTTTTCTACTGCTACAAATAACTATGCTGCTAAAGGCATTGCTTTATACATAAGTTTTATAATTTTGCTACTTCTTATTCAGGCTGATGTTTAACCGGGCTTTGATTCTGTTGTTCAATTATGAACTTGCAGGATACACTTCGGATCGGATATTTGCTCCTTATTGTGTTTACAAGGGAAAAGCTGCATTCTCATTGAGTCCTTGTCTTCCGACTTTCACCAAGTTGGATGTAAGCTTTTTGTTTCCTTTTCATGATTTATTGAATACAACTCTTTTTTGTGGTGTTAACCAATACTTTATATTTAATTAATTCCACTTGTCATAGTCTGGGGTTGTCGTAGTTGAACGGCGCGGTTCAATGATGATGATTTTCATGCATGCTGTTGGGGAGCGCAAATATGACCGGGAGAAGAAACAGGTAATTATTTTTGCTTCTGCGCTGTCTATGTTTACTCTCTTGACCGGGGATCAGCCCAGCTAGCAAGGTCATTTGCATGGTTTGGAAATATATAGGTTGTGACATGTTTTTAAGATTTTTTTTTTTTGGGGCGATAGAGAGCAACAAGTTGTCAAGTTGCCCTAATATCTTGTTTCTGATGTTCTGTTTGATACTTGTAGGAGGAAACAAACATAGAATCCTTTGACATTCCATTATCTCTCTCTCTCTCTCTCTCTCTCTCTCTTATAGTAATTACATTTTTGTAGAGATTTGCTCTCTCGGCAACTGAAGTTGGTTCTTTGATAACCATGGGCCCCCAAGATTCCTGTGAATTCTTTCATGACCCTGCAATGTTATCAAGGTTGGTTTAATGACTTTTGGATTAATTTTTGATGGTCAATTAATTATCTTATGAGAGAACTGTAATGGGATTGAATTATAAATACATGTAGCAATAAACTATTGATGATAATTTATTTTATGTTTATACCATTTTAAAGTTGATTAGTGATGGTTTAGTAAGCACCTTATGCTGCAGTAATGCTGGTCAAGTAAGGAAGAGCTTATCAATTAAAGCGAACAACAATGGCTATTTCGTGTCTTTGAGTAAGATTTTGTTGTTAATTTTTCTCCTTTGCCACTTACTCTAGGTTGCATAATGTATTCCGTATTCTTACCAATTGTGTCACCTTCTTTGGCAGCTGTTGTCAACAACCTGTTAAATACCAAAGAATACTTTAATGTTCCAGTCACAACTGCTGAATTTGCTGTGATGAAAACAGCTTGCAGTGTATGCCTTTTTTCCGCTTAGTTTCTCTTAAGATTATGTCATTTATGCCAATTACATTATATCTTTCACAAGTTATGGGCTGCTGAGTTTCTGCTTGCAATATGTAAGTAAGAAATAAGAATAAGAGGTTATCTATTATCCTTTTATCAACAATTTTCTTTCTAGCCTAAAGGGGATAAAGAAAATAATTATCCTGTCGTTTTGTGTGGCTATTATTCCATTAAGAAACACAGTTCTTGTCTCGAAACCTTGGTTAATACAATAGAAAAATGCCTTGAATCTTAATTCAGCATTCGTGGTCCATTATGTTTAGCAGCTTTCTGATCCAGAATTTAGAATTTTAGAGTGCCAGATAGCTTTCTGTTTACATTTTTTATTAGCATTGTTGAACTGGTATTGCACATTTGGTCATGTCGGCAAATCACTGTTTTTGTTTTCAGGTGATGGTGGAAATATAGTTGAATGTATGTTATTTTGTTTACTGTAAAAAAACTGTCATACCTATAACATTGACTTCATGCATAATATACTGGAGATAGGTAGAACTCAAAATCAATATTTTTAAATCTAGATCAATTATTGAACCGGTTAAGGCACTGGTTTAAAAGTCACTCACAAGTTCAATCGTAGTTGAACCATGGTTGAACCAGTGACAATTAGATATATATTTTTTAATATTGTGTAATATGTTAAGTAATAAATTAGACCATATAAAAAACCAATAATGAGAGGCTAAATAATAATCATTCAGTAAATATTGCAATGAGTAAAACAAAGGAAGGATAACCATTATGTTGTTTAGTTTTTCAAAGTCCTTCATTGATCAATGAGTAAAGCATCCAAACATACAACATATATAAAGGCTAAGAGGAGGCTATATTTGCAAGTTTCACATAAGATAGTGAATAGAAAATCCATACAACATATATAAAAGCTAAGAGAGGGGTAAGTCATCTCATGCATTGCTTATACATGGGCCTTTACAACTTGGCATTAGGCCTTCATCTGACTTAAAAATTTTTTTTGGTTGAATTAAAATAAAATAAAGGTATGAACTAATTTAGCCAGTTCTGTGGGCTGCAAGACACCTTCATGGTTTTTCTGGTCAAACCAGCCGGTGCTGTCCAGTTTTTCATTTTTTTACCAATGCTCAAAATTGCTGTTAGTTGTTGGTTTAGAATCCAGTTCCTAGCCCCTGCTTTTGTTTTGAGTGGATTTGGATCCAGTCATATATATGCAAATCTTCTTTTTTCCCCATGCTTTTAATATATTTTTGCTGCTGGTTAAGAGTTTTGTCACTTGCCAATTTGCTTATTGATGCAGTTTGCATTGCCGCACATTATGGGTTGGGACCGTCTGACAAATCAGCAATCCAGAGGCACAGTTGGAGGCACAGTTGGCTTTCAATCAAAGGTGGATCCACAAGTTTTAGACTTGGAATGGGAAAAGTGAATTGCAGCAGAGAAATATGAAATGGATCCTTGTTTATGCTGCAATGCCTTTTTGTATATTATCAATTCGATGACAAGGATTGCTTGAGGAAGATAACTTGTAATCTTTAAGCAAGAGATTTGAGAAGGATGATGATTGATTCGATGTCAATGCCATTTCCAAATTAGTCATGTTATTGTATTGTGTTGATGTCTGCAGGTCTGGTCATCTGCTGGATTTGTCAACTATTGGCTGTTAAAACGTTATCAGTCATATGTTCATGGCAACATATAAAGAACATCAGTGGTTATATGCTGGCAAGTTTATTCTGTAAAAGGGCAGTTTAACTGTTATTAGTGATTATGTGCAGTCTTTGTTCTTGTCTGTCTCCCTATGGATATAAAGGGCATCCAGAAGATTACATCTTCGTCATTTGCTTTTCTCTCCATTAAGTCGACCCTGAACTTAATATTTTATTTATTTTAAAATAATTGTTTCAAATTATTTGTTACCGTAAAAAAATTATGAAGTACACTCAGTATGGTTTATTTATGCAGATAAACTCAGTAACTATCTGATAATATAATTATATTAACAACTATACTACTAGTATCATATTGTATAAGGGTTTTACAAGAGTTATGTTGTAGGAAAAATGATTGTGTAATGTTATAGAGATTCGTTTTGCGTGTCATAGTTTTTTTTTTTGCTTTAAAAAGTGTGGGCCCCACAAAATGTTGTGTGTGTAGGAAAGTTTTTCTGGTCATGTTAAATGACAAACTAAAACCCCATTGTTTAATTCTCAAATAAGTGATGTATAAAAATAAAATAAAAAATCTCAAATAAGTGGGTCAATATTATAATCTCGAGTTTTTAAAAAATTTCTGACTATATTTTTTCGTTTAAAATTTTCGTAGAATAGTCTAGAGTAGTCTACTCTAGAATGGGTTAAGCAACACTTAAATATTTTTAAATCAAATAACTATAAAGTCCGATTGACCCAAATCAAATTTATTATCCAACATATTATTCTGATATCATTTTTTTTTTCAATATTGTTAAATATTTATTACTTGTGAGTTGTATTTCATATTTTATTTTTTAAATTTTAGGGAAAAGTGTATGTCTTTTTAAAGGGTACAAATTTAGGTCATTTTAAGAGAGAGGGATATATAGAGGTGAGACTTACACCTTTATTTTTTTGTCTTTATATTTTTTAGTTGGACCCACATCTCTGTGTCTATTTCTCTTTTAAAATGACATAAATTTGTGTCATTTAAAAGGATACACACTTTTCCCTTAATTTATTATAAAAAAATCATTGATAAATATTTGATAGCACTTCATAAGAGTGTTTCAACATCGACCCCTTGTATTTAGAGTCGGCAAAACGGGCTCGGCTCGGTTGGCCAACTCGTCCTACCAGCTAAACGGGGCGGGGTGGGCTCGTTTTTTGGCGGGTTGATGGCGGGCATAGGCGGGCCGAGGTTGGTTAGTGTAAAATAGGATCGGGCTGGCGGGCCAACTCGTCAAACAGAGCGGGGTGGGCAGAGTTTTTCAGCCCAAATTCAAAAGCAGGGCGAGCTGGCTCATTTTTTGGCGGGGTGGGGCGAGACGAGGTGGGCCACTTTGCCACATCTAATTGTATTCTTCTCCTACCTTCATCAGGTTCTACTGTTTTACTTTTACCTTCTTTGTAAGACTTGGTTAAACTCTTATTACCTAAATAAATGAATAAAATAATAATAATGAACCTCTCCGGGTCTTCGCGGTCTGGATTATATCGGTTTTGAAGCAAAAATTATCTGATCCAATTCCTTCGGTTTGATCATTTAATCACTCATTTGGTTTAAATTTTTTTAAAATCTGATCCAATCCAATTTATTTTTATTCGGTTTGGATTAGATAGTTTTTTGGTTTTTTGAAAAGTCTAAAATTTCAGCGATACAAATCACTAGCTGTATCAAAATAAAGTCATTCAAAGTTACAAATCACGAAAAATCAAGTCTTCAAACTAAAACAAGTCTTAGAACTCTTGAAGAGTTAAAATAAATTAATTGAAGTAAAAAACTAAAATAAGATAGCTTGCTATCAATAACATCCAAAATTCCAAGTCTACAAAACAACAATATTTCAAGTCACCATCTTTTAAAAATGATAAATACATAATACATTAGATCAATTTGAATTGGATCTGTTTTCATCAATCAAACTGAAAATCGATCCAATTCAATTAAAATATGTGGGTTTTTTTTGATTTTCAATTAATTCGGTTATCGATTTTTTGGTTCGGTCACCGCAATTTGGATTGGTTGATGAAAACTCCAATGAACCTCAGCGCGTATATTTGACTATATATTTATACAAAAAAATATTTCTGCAGTTACTGCAGATAAGTTATTTACATTTACTCCCAAAACGACGTCGTTTTGGGATTGAAATATTAAAAATTTAGAATTATAAAGACTATGATAACACTGAAATAAATTAAAATTACCAAAACACCATGATTTTTGTCCCAAAACGACGTCATATTTGGCTTACTGCAGATAACTTATCTGCAGTAATTGTAGAAAAAGCGAACCCATATTTATAAGTGATGCACTCATTGTTAATTTTAAAATTGTGCATCTGCACGTGTATATTCTATTTAGGAATTGATACCACATAAAATATTGTTATGATTCCAATGCAAATTATTGGTTGAATATTCTATTATTGATGATTAAAATTGAGAAATCTTCAATCATAATTTTATATTTAGCCTACAATCTCTGGATAAAATCTTATGACAGTAATACATTTAAGAAAAATTAAAAGTAAAGGAAAAGCAAAATTAAGCATGACATTTCATAGATCAAGGTCGTTCAGCATAAATTTTACATGAGAAAGTGACATAAAGCCATTCAATGAAAACAAACAAAAAGGAGGAAGTGACATGAACAAAAATGAAATGGCTGAATAATAATTATATATTTACGTACAAGTAAAGAATGTAACAGTAAGAGAAGATATTACTTCCACGTGAACTAATTCCAAATATAAGTGTACGTGATGATGGAGAAAAATAAATGTGATCATCATGGACACTTTGGATTGTTTCCAGGCCCACCATAGTAGAAGTATGTGCCCCATTCATTGCTGTAGGAGCTCTTGATGTCATAACAGTTTGTGTTCTCAGCTAGGGTTAATATATTATGCACCGAAGCTAGACTATTATCTGTGTCTACGATCTCAAGGTTCCTGAAGTAGCTTGCTTTTCCAAAGCCATCATCGGCGAAGTGACCGGAACCCATCTGGGTGGAGGTGTGTTCGCCGTTGGCCCGTGTATTCACCACCTCACCACCCCATTCCACCATGGTGGCATGGTCCACTAAGTGTGTGAATAACTCTGCTGGCCAGTATCCTACCAATGTGCTGTCACCAAAACTCATCCACCAATTTCCAATTTTTGGATCCTAATTAATATTCAAAAGATAATTAGGTAATTAAATTTTTTTATATAATTGATATTGGATCATACATTTGGAGAAACCAAATGCGTATTAATAAATTTGTACGTGGAAAAAATATTAACCTTCCAAATGAGTATGGTAATGTCATATTGGTTGGCTTCATAAGATGAGATAGGAGAAATGGCAGCTCCAATGGCTATCCTGTTATTAGTTTGCACAAAACCAGCACAAAGAAGGTTGTAGCATCCGGTTGCTTGATATGAGTCACTCTGCATCACCCAAAAAATTAAGCAAAATTTATAAAGCAGCACTCCAATACAAGTTAATTACATTCCGACAATTGTTTTCTGGATAATAAATTAAATACATTGAAGCTGATAAGTTATTTCTATGGGAAAGTGCCAACCTCCTAACTTGATTTGCTAGTCCATAGAATTAGTTATGGGATTATTATGATGACAAATCCTCCCTGCATATATAAAATGTACGTAGGGTACCAACTCACAGTAGGCAGGTTCATTTAATTTTAACTATATATGTATCTTTGTTTTATTTAGTCATGAATCACTCTAAAGGTCACAACACATATATAACAGGTAAGTTTAAATTAATTAGGCCTTAACTAATTCTTGTGATATAATGTGATGCATACCTGGATTGCTTAGTTTAAATTTGTGCCCTGACTATAAACACATATAATAGCACCATTATTATAGACCCTTATACAACACTTGCCAATATTATATAGTTCAAGTATATAAATTTATCAAATTCCACTTTAATAATTTATGTGAGAGAGATGATATATGTATGAGAGGAGAATGAAGAAAAGAGATATATGAATGCTGACCGTCCAGTAAGTGAATAATCTGGGCCTGCTGTCACCATAAAGCTCCGGACTGACCTGACTAGTAGAACAATCAAAGCTTCAGAGACTATTTGGTAAAGTTAGTTTCCTATTTCTCCACATTGAATGCAATTAACTAATGTTCCTTTGCTTCAAGCAACTAACAAAAAAATAATTAATGATTACAAACTTACAATATAAGGTATTTGAAAGAGAGACAAAGCCCCACTACACTAGAAGTCTAGAATACTACAAAAGAAAGAACCACCAACCAGATAACTACACTAGAACTACGAAAGAAAGTAACACAGAACCAAATAATGGAGCAAAAACCACATCCATTCAGGTGCAGGGAGTATAGAGATACATCCATTTTGCTGGAGGGAGTTTGGATACGAAAAAGAGATAAAGTAGCAATTTTGATTGGATAATATTCAAAGGAAACAGCAAACAACAAGTACGAGCGATTATGATTGTAATGTCAATTATGTAATAAAGCAAATTTTTTTTTTGTTGAGATATTCCAATCGGTTCATCGCTTCGCGGCCAATCCGATTCGGAACGGATCCCGAGATTAAGACTTTAAACTTCATGGTAATTGAGAGGATCGAACACATATTCTCATCCTCATCTGTTCAATTCTCTGAAGCCAACTGAACTACTATCATTTCATTTAATGTAATAAAACAAAATATGACACTACACAAAAATTTAAATCAATGTGCTTGTACCAAAAATTTGTTTTTGGGATCATTCAGAAAAAAGAAAATTACAATGTTGTTTAAAGAAGTATATATGTATAAATATCATTATTTCATATAGCAAAAAAAAATATATATCATTATTTCGATAAGGTTTTGTTTTTCCAACTGATTAAATTATTAAAAAAAATTCATCAAAAAGATATATTTTTTTATGAAATTTTGAATAGAGAGAGTAGAGTTGGAGATTATTAGAATTTAGAAAGAATACCTGCCATCCAGCTTCTATGCTGTTGAGATCTGAGCCATCAAATGATCCAGAAAGAATCCAAATTTGAGAGAGACTAAATTCGTTGATTACTTGGATGGATGGATCCCACACATTTATTGTTGCCTTTGCCCCATAAACCTCCTGTGATGACCCTGTATATGCAATTGCATGCTACACACACAGAAAATAATTAATAATGCAAAATTTCCACTCAATCAAAACATTTTTTAAGAATCAAAATAAAAATTACAAAATATAATATTTTAACCACGTAGATAGTATTTTTTTTTTATTAAGAGTAAGAGAGGAACAAATTCAAATTATGTGAAATTAAACTATCAAAAACTTTTTCTAGATCATATACATAAACTTTTTTTTAGTATTATGTATTCAAAGTTAATGTATTATTATTATTCTTGGACCACAAATTTACTATCTGTGAATCCTGTTTCAGATAATAAATTGCTATATAACAAGATATTATTAAAAAAAATGTTAAAGTAATATGGCTCATTAATTGGTACAGAATATGTAGAGCTGCTGCAGCCCGAGGGAGGTAAGATGGGATGGGATCATCTGATATGTTAATTATTTAGCAATTAATATGCACAAGTACCGTACGCGTCACTCATTTACTTGTATAATTAAAATAAAAACGGAATATTTATATAATATCTAAATTAAATAAATTCTAGCGGGCCCTGGTCAAAATCATGTTACGCACGTGTTACATTGTCTACTCATGATTTCATATATGTAACTTGCGGGACATTAAAAATAAACTATCAATTATTTTTCCTGCTTGGAGTACCACTTTCACATTTAGAATCGTTGAATTTCACATTTTCTGGGTATTATATTTACCATCCTTTTAAATCAAGTATTATAAGTACATAATCCATGCATGTTTCAAATTATATAAAGACTGAAAGATTTGATTCCTTAAACCAAAATGATATTTACAGATTAAAAATCTTGTCAAAATTAAGATATACTCAAAAGAAAATAAATCAGACTATAAATGTGATATGGACAGTCACATGTAATTTGAATTATAGTAGCTAGCTAACTAGTGACCATAAATAGAGATGTTCCCTTAAAAAAGCTTGGAGTAATGTAGAGCAAAGAAAGGAGCATTAATTTGTTTGGTTGAAACGAAACTTTGAAAGCAAGTTGAGTTGCAAAACAATATGAAATGATGATGATAGGGACAGAGAAGGCACGCACCTCATGACCATTGCCACTGACTACATCGGGGGCATCACTGCGGCGAGAGAGAGGTATCCGTCGCTGTTTCTTGCCAAAGTCATATAAAGACTTTGATCTTAACACGTCATGCACCGTGCTCCGCCGTATGGGAATGGTTCCCTTTGGACACCTTGTTCCATTTTGGTGCCACATTTGCCATGCACCACCACCACCACCCTCACTCATCTTCTCATCTCTCTTCACATTCATCCCCCTTGGCATCTTTGGTGGCACCTTCTGTTATATATGTTAACCAAACCATACAAAAAATTATAACCCTAATAAAATTAATCAAATTGATGTAGAATATATATGAAAATCACACGGAGAAGATGCAACTTCAAAAAGGGAAAGACAAAAGTAGTGAAGTTATTAGATTCATATCTATATATATTATACATACGATCTCAATGAATGAAGGAGGTTAATTTGTACCTGGATCTTGTGATTCTTTAAAAGAGGGTGATCTAAAGCTGGTTGCTTTCTTTTGTGAACACAATCAATGAGATCACCATCTGGACTCTGAAGAAATATATAAGATCCAACAGCAAGTACTCATGAATTATAATGATTATACAAAATAAAGAAAGAAAGAAAGAAAGAAAAAACAATATATTTATATGTATGGTCATAAAAATCTCAACCTCTAATCACACATACACAAATGTAGTACTAGCTAGTAATATTATATAATTACCTCTATTGTGAGGAGAGGGGGCTTGTTAATCTTGTCCAAATGCCTCTGAATCCTTTGGAGTCTCAAGCTACTGACTTGCCTATAACTTGTGTAATTTAGGGTTGTTGATTCAACTGCAACCATTTGTAGAAGGAGGGTGGTGAAAAAGAAACCAAGAAGGAGAAGATAATGATGAGGAGGAGCAGAACAGGAACACCTTCTCTTCCTCTCAACAATACCCATTTCTCTTTCAGTGCCAACAAAGAAAATGGGTAAAAAAAGAGAGAGCTAGAAAACCATTACTAGGAAAGCAAATAGCACAAAGTAAATCTGACTTTCATGGGCATTTCCATTTACCATACCCAGACACTATCACTAACAAAGAAAAGAAAGTTGGAAAATGACTTGTAGTAAGGACAACGTAGGAAGGTAAACCTCTCTCTCTCTCTCTCTCTCTTTCTATCTCTCTCTCTTTCTTCTCTCCTGTCTTAATAGTATTAATGGTGAGGAAGGAATGGTAGTTGAGGTTAATTAAGCTGCTGCTCAGAGACCCTCTTGGACCTTCAGCATCAAGATCATGATTGCTTTGCATTTGATTCATGTATATTAATGGTACATGATGAAGCTCTACACATTCATTTCAAAGATTTTTGGTGCTGTTAAAAGATTGCACAAACGTTGAAGCAAGTAGAGAAAATTTAAGAGGAAGAGAAAAAGAGAGAGTTGTGTGGCCTGGCTACCTAGCTGGCTGGCTTCAAAAGTTGAAAGTAATTCAAAGCATTATAAAAACACAAACCTACCCAACTGAAAAACAATACCCCTTTTATTGCACTTCTTCAATGTGTATCTGCCACTATACACTTTGCCATTAATATTTCCCTCCAAAGTCCAAACCCCATACCTTCTTCTCTCTCTCTTTTTTTTTTTTTTTTTTTTTACTTTATATCTTCCTTTCCTTCACAGTATAATACAATGTCCTTTTTCTTATTCATTTTTGAAAGAAAAAAAAAAATGACAAATTAAAGTGGGCACTCGATCAATTGGTGCAGGCTACGTTCCACCGACTTTTCAATATTATCGCCTAAATGTTATCCAAATTATGTGATCATGACTCTAATGAACGAACTAGTATTAACCGTATTCACCTTTTTATTTTTTATTTAACCGAAATATAAATTAATCCGTATATATCGTAATTTAATATTAATTAAAGTATTAATCTTCACTTTGTTTCTTTTTTCTGAGGATCGTCGTATCAAAAATTAAAATAAGTTAAGAAAAACTTTGATTTTACTTTTGTAAGAGTAGTATATGTAGAACAATAATGTTTCATTTTTTTTTAAAGAATTATTTTTCTGTCGTTATTTTTGTGAGCAAAAGAAATAGCCAAATCATGGGACTACAAAAAATTCTCTGGCTTGTTCGTCTTTCAAGGTTCTCATTTACGCGTGTACTAATCAAAGTTTAATTATTTTTTCTCCCTTTTTTTTTTGCAATTATTATTATTTAGGAAAATCCCAACAGAGTAATGCCTAAAACAAGTGGGAAGAAAGAAAATAGGAAATGGTTGTTCCATCAAACGATATTAAATTTTCTAGTGAGAACTTGCAAGCATCTTATTAGGGTTTGGATATACATATATATAGGAGAAACCCAAGTACTAGAATGATGTCCAAGAAATGTTCGTTAAGGAAAACAGGACATGGATGGAAGAAGGGAAATGAAAAACGAACGTTTTATCAAGGGAAAGGAAATATTCTAAGTGGCTCATGAACCATCCAACTTGCTCTTCAGTGGAGCTGATTGCAATTGATAACTTGGATTTTTTGAAGGATTAGCTAACTTAATAAAGTATAAAAAAAGGTGATTTAAAATATAAAAAATGAAACTCTCCACGAGAATCTAACTAGTGTTAGGACTTTAAGACATCGAAATCAAAGTAAGAAATTATTTAGTCAACGTATTGGGGAGGTAATTTCTATGCCAGTTGTCCCTTTGAAGGTGTGTTCTACAAACGCACGGCCATCCATGTGACATGGAAATTATAAATATGAGAAATAAAGTATAATTAAATTGGGTAAGCTTCCAATCTCGAATCTCGAATTCTTCTACAAAGGAAAGACAAAATTTTAGTTGTCAGAGCTATGGATTATATACGAAATATCGCATGTGCAGCAGCAGCAGTAGCAGTTATTTATTTATAGTTTGACAATCCCATATATATTTATTTATGTAGTTGCGTATCAATCAAATAACAGTGATTAAATTTAGGAACCATTAACTCTATATATATAACGGCGAGACTTCTACACACTTATGTTATGTCTATTGAATATTGGAATATCAAAAAAGAAAAGAAAACGAATTGGTTATGGTAAAAGACAAATACATTTATAAAGTCAATTTTCTGGATCGTAAGGGTCTCAGACGACTCTTGATATTCCTCGTCTACTACACATGGAAAAATATTTCTAGACTAGGCTTTTCCTAATTATTTTCAAGCCGTGTGCTCTCAACCTAAAATAAAACACGGTTTTCAATCAGCAGTAAACAATTTCATCCTTTATGCAATGAAACAAGAATAAATTCAATGAAGCACTATGATTATGGAATAATGTCGGTTAAATGAGCTTTAACTGTAAAACATCTTTGGATCGATACTTGACTTTTTCTTTATTTTAAAAAAGTAAGAAAGAAAATAGTGATACCATTTCATTTAATTAATGTAGTAAGTATTTGATACGATTTTCCAGTCAACTTATATCAAACATACGAGCACTAATGTCAACATGGAGCGAGGGTATTCAAGTCATTATGAAGTGAGCTCACTTTGAAGGCAAGGATATTGGATTGCAGGAATAGTGGCGGCTGGTGAATTAATTCTTGGTGAGAATTGAGAACATCAGCACCTAACTAAACGCGTTTAGGACGATAGTACGCAAGAAAATGTAGAAAGGTTATATATTTCTCCTTTCGGAAGGCCAACTCTGGCATAGTCTTTCTTAATACATTACTATTATGTATACTTGGACACAGCAAAGGAAAGTTAACCACGAATACGCAGGTCATGCCAGATTGAAAAACCAATTCCCTAAATGTTCTGCCTCCATCCGATAGATCCTTAACAGTTTGATTGTTGCTTTTAACTGTTTTGAGTTTCATTTCATAAATGAACTGAATCACTCGATTTTTAATCAATAAAACAACAGGATTGAAAGCAAAATTGTAAAAAGGAAAGAAAACACAATGAAAAAAAGGTAGAGTTCGATATTTTCTTTTAGTTGTAGATAACTTTTTAAATGCTGAAACGAGACAGCAGCATTGAATATTCATCTGTATACAAATAATTGCATGCAATACAAGGACATTTATTGAGGGAAAAAGAAGTTTTTTTTAAAAGAAAATAGTATCCGACAAAACCCAGTACACTTCAAATAAAAAATTGAATTGACCAATAAGTCATTTCACATACAATCCCTGCTGCTTTAGTAGGAAAGTTACGAAACCTTAACCGTTTTCAATTAACCGAAAACGAGCTAAACCTTCCCTCTCTCAAACTCATATTCACATAATTGAGGGAAATTTAACTAAAGCAAACAATATAATGGGCACTTAGTTGCTTGTTTTTATCAAATTAGAAAATACTACCACAACCGAAAAAGCAGCGATTCTGTTAATGATTGTCACCGTAGGCGAAGAGTCCATTATCAGTTTTTTACGGAATACGTGGGTACGAAAAAATAAAGCCCGTTATGATGTGGCAGTACCAAACTGTAGAAGACCATCGAGATAGGATAATGAAGAAAAAGTATATATTAGAGAAAAAAAAAAATATATTAACCAAAATTGATTGAGCAACAGAAAAAATAATACAGTTACAGACAATTCGCCTCATCTGATTTACAATTATATCGACATATCAAATACCCAAGCAGAAAAATTTGGGTAAAAAGCCTCAAATTGTGTTTATCTATATCTTTGACTATAACATAGCGCCACCAAAAATTTGGTAATCAATGAGAATTTTGTATTCCCACTCTATAGAAGAAAAGGAAGAACAAAACACCTGATGAGCTACTCAGCTACTTGATGTATCTTCATCGCTGTCTTCACTCTCATCACTGCATAGCAGTAAATACAACCATGAGAAAAACTTATCCGTAACATCTTATGCAAGTATTATTGGCTAAAGCTCAGACGTTACGCACAAAATCTGTCTACAAAAAACTTTCCATTGATGATTTAACAATTTCTTAGAATGAACAGTACTTCAGTAGTAAAAACAATGTGTGATTAAATTATATACAGAGAAATTTTTCGAAAACTAAACAAAGATTGTCTCTGCTAGTAATAAAGAGAACACCTAGTAGTTTTATATTTTCATATTTTGGAACAAAAGTTTCAAAAATAACCCTAACGACATTAATTTCAGTATCTTCTAATCAATTTTAAAATTAAACACGAATGTCATTGCAGCAGTTACGGTTTATTTTTGCTGAAAATATAATATCACAAAGGGTTTGCTTTTTCAACAATCAATGTAGATAACTTATCTACATTGAGCCCAAAACGACGTCGTTTTAGGTTGAAAAACAAAAAAATTATAATGAAATAAACTATTATAATCCTGAAATAAATTATAAAGCCTATCACAAATGGTAAAGCTTGTGACATTTGATATCTATTTTCCTTATCTTTCTCTTATTTCTCTACATTTAACGCATTCTCTCTCTACTTACCTTACTACTACTTCTCTAACTTTTTTTCTTCATCACATTTGAAGCTTCCATGCTTCTTTAGTTTTCTATTTTGAAAAAAAACAATTTCTTGATTTATGATCTTTTTTAAGTTTTATATGGTAGCTTTTAATTTCCCAAGGGAAAGCTATCCATATATTTCTCTGAAGATAAAAAGTAAATAAGATCCATAATCAGCGAAGTTTAACCAAAAGAAAAAAAAAGAAAAGACTTAAAATTCGTGAGTAGTTCATTGTAGATAGCTTTTGTCATCGACAGCAACATCCTATAGTGCTATCAGCAAGGGTTAACTGACCCACGGTTGGCTTCATGACTTTTTTAAAACTATGTTGGAGTGGGTTAATGATGGGGCAATTTGAGACAGTCTGACCCACTTAAGCAGAAAGGAAAAAATATGAACCCAACCAGGTGTTAGGTTTAAACAAAACCTCTTGACCACAGCGGCCGATGTCAAGGCCAAGAGATATGTCAAATTGTGCAAAATTGACGCCCTCCAAACTGGTTCAGGTGCGAGTACAACAGAAACATACTGCAAGGAAGGAGCTTGTGTTGCAGTTGCAGCTGATTGAGAGCAAACTTGCAAGGTTCCATGCAAAGTCAGTCCTTCCAAGAGCTCACTTCCTTGATATAGATGCCATGCATCGTGAAATTCAACAACCATGAACACCATCAAATCGTCATGTCTAATCGATGGAGTTACAATCATGATTATTCGTGTCTCTGACAGAAATTGCTACCAAAAGACGAATTCTTAGGTTGTTTCTCATTAATTAGGACTGGAAATTATAATTCATTGTAGTTTGAGAAATTAAGGGTTTGAATTAAGTGTCTCATTTTCGTTTGGTCTTGTTTTGAATTCAGAAATTGGAAAGATTCAAGGGCATAATTTGAAAAGTAAATTCAGTGGGGCATAGGGGTAAAGGTAGGACATTAGGTGGGGCAGGATGACTAGTTTCACCAGGGCTCCAGATTGGGTTTTACCAACCCACATCCCAAATGTGTTGATTTACCTTCACCTGTTTAAAGGCAGATCAAAGGAAGGCAGCCAGCTCGTATTGACAGCTCTAATCACATGTTTGGTAGACTAATAGATTAACAACATCAACATCAACATCAACATCAACAACACCTTTATCCCAAATTAATTGGGGTCGGTGGTAGATGAACCCACATGAAAGATACAAAACGGTTGAAAAAAAGTAAAAAAAATAAATAACTAATAGATTAAAATGAAGGATTTTTCTTCTTCATTTTTCACTTGTTTTTTGAGTGGAAAACGGATTTTTGTTGTTCCTGGTTGCATGTCATATTATCATTTTATTTTCACCCCTAAATACTATGTACTGCAGTGTGACTTGCAACCGTTATCATACTTGCGTTGCACAAGGCTAAAGTGACAATTCTATAGAAATGCATATTTGATTCTACAAGTACCTGTATTCAGGCAACTTTGATAGACGTCTAGCGTCCAAGCCAGTGATATACTTCTGTACAGCTTGAACATTTTCTGAACCTGGAAAACCCAAATCCATAAAAGAGTAAGCAGGGTATCTTCATTCCAATTATCAGTTGCTAATTCTAAAAACTTATTTCACAAGATAGAGAAAGGATAACCTAGTCAATAATGGATGGCTGTGATATTAAAAAACCAAATGTCAGAAGACATTAAAGGTTTCTTTAGGTAAGGTATGGTTTTATCGTAAGGTTAAAGGTAATTGGATAGAAGGCTTTTTGTAGACATGCAAAGGCAAGAGTGGTCCGAAAGAAATAAGAAAGAACCTTAAGAGGTAAATGGCTGTTTCGGTATGCCAAGAACAGTGTAATAATGTATTTCAATTTTGACAAGTTTGAAACGGATTCAAGCAAGAATTAACTAGGGTTCTGAAAGATATCATTTTCGAACCTTTGGATAAAAAAAGGAACATATTTAGGCCACTCATTAAAATTACAGATCAAGATCTCACACATAGGGACTGTCATATATCACAAAATAAGTAAAAAACCGAACAGTTGATTTGATTCATAACACTGATCATTCAACTTGAAAGAAGTATTACATAAAGGTAGCATGTTGCCATAAGTGGCAAGCTGGGGAAAAAAATGCACAACCTGGTGGTATAAAGTTCCCTCTCTGCGCAAGTTCCAGGTAAAGGTCTATAGTAAACAGCCTTACTGTGCATTACTAAGAGGCTGATTGCATGAATCGAGCAGTGACCTCAGGATCACATGGCGACAATACCAACCATTGTGCCAAGGCTTCCCTTTCAAAAAAATGTTTGATTTGCTTTTGGTTTCTCTCTATTTCTACTTATTATTTAGACTAGACTCTGTACTTCATTTCTCCTCTTTTTTCAATGGTCAATAGATGTTGAGCATATATTTATAAATTATAATCAATATTGACCAGCAATAACATCAAGAAGAAGGGAAGAAGTAATACACATCATCCTTTCGACACAAGATAAAGAGCATATAACAAAATGCAAGTGAAAATACCCTTTGTTAATTGGAAGGCATGTAGAGCGCATCGTTCTGCAGCAAGTCTAACAGGAGTATTTGCATCTTTTAAACACTCTGCTAGAGCAGGACCAATAATGGTGCCATGTGACATAATGGCTGAAGGATTTGCCTGCAATGTTTCAGGAATGAGAAGAATGCAAATTTTCAACAATATTATTCAACGGGTATTATTTAAGTCAATCCAAGATTTTCTAGCACATACTTTGGCAACAGCCTTTATAGCAGATAACGCCCTTCTTCTAACTTCGCTGGAGTCATCACGTGTGGATGAAATTAGCAATGAAAGCACATCTTTGTATAGAAGCATGTCCGAAGGATCCATCTGAGTACTATAAAGAAGGAGCCTTCCCAATGCCTTAGTCGAAGTTTCACGAAGAGGGAACTGTTTGATACAAAATTGAATAAAATCAGAAAATAGCACAATATCACAAGATATGTTCAAGATTAACAAACCTTCTCGTCCTTCAATGTGTCTCTAAGGCAATCTACGATAGTCGGGAACAAGGAAGACGAACAAATTGGAGCTGGATTGTGGCGGAACAAGGAAGAGATTGCAAGGATGGAGCCATGCCTAGGAGGCCAGCTTGGTGAATTAGCTAGACTTGATAGTTCCAGAATCAACTCCGTCAGCTGAACATCTTCAAGGTACTGCAGTTATAGTTACAAGGCAATTAGACAAACATAATAAAGAGATAAAATCCAAATATAACGTAGAATTAAGTATCTGTGATAAATCTAGGATATGACAGTAATGGTAATAGCATAATCAAGTAATAATATCAAACATATCGGCAGGACCCAGTAAGAATAAAAAGCATATCTATCTGGAAAAAATGCAGCTCCTTTCAACAGCCTACTAACCTGTGACAAGATACCCAATATGCTTGCAGCATATATTCGAACTTTGTCATCATCATCATGAATTAAATCCTTGAGAACACTGTAAACACGATTTCTAACAGCAGAGCTCACATTCTTCCCCGCATACTTCAAGACACCTTTCAAAGCAGTCAGAATAGCTTCACGAACACCACCATCTGATCCCTGAGCAATCAAAGTCCAACAGTTTTGTACGGGATAAGTAATATCCAGCAATACATGTTTTAAGATTTGCAATATTACATCAGCCCAAGTCAGAGCAATGAAAATAGAATCACCTGCAGACTGGAAAGCAAATCACTAACTAAAGGATCAACTCTGGTACTGAGTCCACTGAGTTTCCCAAGCGCCAGGGCAGCACTAGAACGAACAGTTCTGCAATTGCATATTGTATAATAAACAAGAAGAATAAAATATAGAAGCGATTGCTAGACAATGTAAAACAGAATAGCAAATGCATACTTATGTCTGAATTAGACCTTAGGGCCTGCTTGGTACACATGATAGGATATGGCCCAACAGTACCAGACCTGATGGTGGCCTGATAAAAATTTAACATTATACAATGTTTGATATGACATGGTATAAGATATTGTATCGATAATACTATGTTTGGTGATGCATTATATAAAACTAAATACTATAAAAATTAACCCCTTTTACAAAAATACCCTTTACTTAAAAATTTCCCGTATTAATATAAAAAGTTATACTATTTTGGAGAAACAAAATATCTCATATATGTATATTGAATTAAAAAAACAAAGGTCTGTACACAGATTAAACAAATTTTAATAAGAACATAATCCAATAGCCAATAACTGATTTAGGGGCTCCTACAAGAGCCCTCAATCCTCACACGATGGTCTAAACTTATATTTATATGTAAAATAGTCATATGCACTAACTTTTTTTCCATCTTGCATTAAATATGATTTTAGTATCAAAATTTAACTTTACTTGTGCTCTATATTGATTATCATGCAGTTCACGATTTAAATCAAGGGCAATGATAAAAAGCTCCCAACGATACGAACAAGAGAGGGAATCAAGAGGATCGAGAATCGCCCTTGTGCATGTTGCACCGGAAATCGCGATTCAGTGGCCAGCAATGAGCTGGTTTCTGCAAATGACGAACTCATTGAGTTGATCTATGCAACGCCGTCAAGCTGGTTTCTGTCCATCAAATTAGTTTCTACACATGGTCGACCTTTGTTTTGAATTCCAATTTACACGCACAAAATGCCAACTGTAGTTTTATGCATAGCTCTCTTTCAGGTTTTACGACCAGCTTGAAAATGAAAACCAATCTTATTTATTTATGGGAAAAATATTTGTCATTTTAAATGACAGAACTTTGTTTCATTTTAAGTGAAACTACTTTGTTTTGGTGGTTTTTTACCTTTATATATTTATAATTTAAACTGTAATTTTCAAAACTTTTAACATCTGCAAGTTGTAGCAAAACATTTTGACTTGAAAATCAAACCACCAACTTTTAATCTAATTTTCAAATCCTAGCTCTATTTTACCTATCTTATTTATTTATTATATATTTATATTAAGATAGACATTGAATCTATTTATGATTGAATAGAAAACAAAACTTAATTTATCATATTTAAATCTACTTATTTAATTCTCAAATCCTAGAATTGTTCTTCCTCTCTTATTTATTTATCATATATTTATATTTAAATAGATTTCAAGTCTATTTGGGACTGACTAAAAAACAAAACCTATTTTATTATAAATAAATCTAAAGTTTATTCAATTATAACCTCCACTTTTTATCCAAACATATGGGTTTTCAAATTTTGGCTTATATATCTATGTTTATGCGAGATTCTATTATGACCATATGATTTATGATTTTCTTTTTTATTCATACATTTTGCACTATATAGTTTTTTTTTGGTAAGCAAGCACTATATAGTTAATAACTTAATATACCATTTATATGACATATTTTAAGCTATTTTTCATTATGAATCTTATGATTTTAAATTGTGATTCACTAACCTTGATGTATAGTTGATTAAGTTTTTTAAAAAATATTAAATAAAAAAGTATCTTAATATCTTGACAAAATTACAACACTTAATTTTTTAAATAAAAAATATTTAAATATTATTCATTTTTAAACTGTCGGTTCCCATCATCATCCATGTGGTGCAAACCCATCCCACCATGCGCATCTATCACTACCAAAGCAACAATTGGTTCTAACAATGCGTCAAGTGGGACCCCAATTACCGCTACTTAGGGATGTCAATTTGAACTAACCCATCCCATTCAAGCTAGCTCGTTATAGGCTGGACCAAATGCAAATTGTTGGCTAAATCCAACTCTGTGGGCCGGCATATTGGGAAATCAATCTGGTTGACTTGGGAACTGTTATCTATAATGGGAAAAATTTTACACGAGCTCACACATCAAAACCTAATCACGCCTAATCCTACCTCCCAAAGTTTGATTAAGTTATGCATACTATAAAACCATTTGTATCTTCACTTAACAAATTAAACTTTTGAGATAGTTATTTCACGACAGATCTTCAGGATCTCTATGACTAAGAGGTCTAGATTTGCTTCTTGCCACCTCCACCATTCTAATAAAATTAAAACCTTACGGGAAAAAAAAAAAAACCCTCTGTTAAATAACAGATGCAATTGTCACTTGCGCCAAAGAAACAAAGGGCGAAATTATAAATCAGGTATTAACAATATCATTAATTAACTTAATCTGATTTTCCCCTTTAATTCTGGTATTAACAATATCTTTCCTTTTCCACTCATTTGAGATTTACCCACTATATTTTTGGGTCTTATATGCAAGACGTGTGACGAGTCGGTCAAATATCTAACAGTTTACCAAACAGATGATGACTTTCGCCAAAATGTGAAGTTCAAGGGTCATTTTCTCATTTACAACCCTAAGGTCTAATCTACATACGTCAAAGTTGAAGGGTGTAAGTTGCAAGTAATCCTAAAGACTATATATGGACGGAAGTAAGAAACAATTAGTGACTGACAATAGAATCATTTGCTATCTCATACTAACCTCGTACTATCCTGTAAACACTTGACAAATGTTGTTTGCAGCTGAGGAAGAAAAGGTTTCAGGAAGATGCCACCCTTTCTTATCATGATGATTAGAGTAGACAAAATGGCACTTTTCACCTGCCACGGGAAGCGATCACCTATTATGCGGATAAGAGGCCTGTGATAAACATGAATGGCTAAGTCAGAATTTATAATAGATAAAATGTGTTATAAAAGTAAATTATAAAATCTATCATCCCATGGAGCATGGACAATCAAATGCCCACTTCAAATAGGAGAGAAAAGATTGAGCTCATGACCAATTGATCAAAGTGTATCTAATACCATGTTAAGAATCAACTCAACCTTACATCTTAAGTTATTAGCTGAAGACACAAATAATTGTATATCTCTTAACAAATATAAAATAAATGGACTGCATGCACATTGCCTAACTAGGCATCTTTTATTGAAATTTTCTCTGAACATATAAAATATCCCAATCAAATCATTTTTAGCGTCAGCACATGCTTGATACTGACAAAAGTGGGAAACGGTAAGCCCACCACCAATGATGTGGTTCAGGTAGTGTATCGAAATAAGAGCGAAAGACCATAATGTTAGCGCATATGTTAATTATAAAATTACATTATTAGAAACTTGCTAAGTTGAAATATCAAGATTAGATGTACAATATACATTAAAAAAAATTATTAGATACCCTGTTATTGGAATGACAAACTCCTTGAGTGACTGTTCACTGGTCACCTCTATCAGTTCACCAAGTCCCAATGCTGCCTGCTCCCTCAATTCAGCAGACCCACTTATGAGACCCTGGGAAGCATGAAGTATAACTCAGAATGAATTTTATGTGAAAAATGCTCCAACTATTACATCAGACGACTAAGATTAAAAAGCCGACAATGCTATGAGTATTTTTCAACTACGTAGCAAAGATAAAAATCAGCACCTTTGTATTATTCTTAAAAAATTGAGCAAAAATGATAATGAAGCCAGGCGAAAAATAATTCTTGAAACTAGATGAGAAAGCCATGAAAAAGTTGCTGAGACAAAGGTCAGATGACTTATGTTTTCTAGAGGGTTTTTTTTTTTGGATCACTAAACGATCGGATTGTAGATTCTCCAGACCACAGAAGAGGGTAAAACTATTACAAGTGCAATGATATAGAAAATGCTCAAATTGATATGAACCTACGAAATTTAATTGCTTTCAAGGAAGGGCACTAGCATTTTCATTACTGAATAACAATGCAATCAACTGCAATGTTACTAATGGGTCTTAGACAGATTACAATAGTTTTGTAAACAAGATGATATCTTTAGTATCCTAGGCTTATTTAGATATCCACAGAGAATGTAAAAATAGTAAGCATGCAACTGAACTGCAATACATGCAATGCTCATACAAAATGCAGAAATTTCAATGTCATGAAAAAGAAGAATACCTGGAGAAAAATCGGCAATATAGGCTGAAGTGCTTTAGGAAGACAAAAACCAGGTACGAGAATTGGCCCTCCCTGAAAAGTAATTACACAAAAAACAAAAACATTCACAATATTCTCAAAATAACTATTACAAACCTAAAACACAACATCTGAATGTCCCAAATAGGAATATTATTCAAAGTTATATTTTACAAAGTTATAGCCCACCTTCTTTTTCCTTCGCTCCTTATCTCGCGATGTTGACACAGCATCACGGACCAGTTTTATGTAAGAAGGAAGCACCTCCTTGGGTACTGAAGCAATGACGCTTGACAAAGCCACCCAAGCAACCTAATGAAAAGCAGATTATAAACACTATACTATGCAGAGGATCTTAGTATAATACCAATTACTCATACAGCATACCGTAACAGTTGATGAATCAGGATCACTCAGCAAAATGATTAGGGTGGATATCATGTTTGGAGCTTCATCAACCAGATATAACTTGCTATTTTTGAAGAAATACCCTATCAGATATGAACTAGATCTTCTGACGGCAGCCTGTAGACATAAATTGTCAAAAAGAAAACAATAAAGTGAGGAGGGCCAAGTAAGTGATAGGTGAAGGCATTAAATTCCATATGTTATTACAAGAGAAGTACCTGACTATCACTAACACCTTTCACAAGCTCTGATATGAGAGGCTCAACACCTTCCTCGTCAATAACTGAGACCACTGTTTCAGCAGCCTCCTTAGCCAAAGTTTGAACCTCCTGGAATTTAAACAATAAAAGAAAGGATAATATTTGTTCAAATATGTCTAAATTCCATAGGACTAGTCAAACATAAAAATACAAAATATGATGTCTGAAAAGTATTCTCCAAATGATGTAAGCACGGTCTACCTTGTCATCATCATCCATTGCTGACAGCAAAGGAGGAAGTACAGTACCAAGATGAAAGTCAAGGCCAGGTCCAGCAACCTCTGCTAAAGCCCCTAGAGCATGTGCATGGAAAGCACTGGACAGGTACCAAGAAATTTTTAGTTAAGATATAAATGGTAAAGCACCTAGAACAAATGCAACAAAACAGAGAGACACATACGACAATGGAGGCTGAACCAGTTTGGGCAAAATGTGAGGCAATACTGCACTTGTTCTGACACTGCAAATAAAAAAAAATGCATTAGTTTTGTCATAGATAACAAAAAATTGGTAATAACAATAACTTACTATTCGCTATCTTTCTGACAATGACAGCACTACACATTTTACCTCAGAATTTGTTTAAGGCCATCGAGTGCAGTATCAGAAGTTTCATCATCCTCCAATGCATGTAGAAGAGTCGGAACAATTTCATCAATAGCTTGCAGTCCAGCACTCTACGTAGCAATTTTTGGAGGAAAGGGAATGGAAAAACATTTAGAGTTAGTCTCACATACCACTAACAAAAATCTTCAAAAAAGAAAAGCACAAGCAGACATTGAACATGGCTACCTTATACAAAGTGCTGAATGCTAAGCCTGCTGATTCACGAACCTCGGGCACACTGTAAAGATACCCATCTAAATATCAGATAATGCAATTAAAAATTCCATAAACAGAGAAATCAGAATTAAAATGCACAAACCTATCACAAAGGGCAGTACGAATAGTTGGGATGAGCTCATTCATGAAAGTCAACAACTGATTCTTACCAGCGCTTGCCATCACTTCACTCAGACCAACACATACACCCTTTCATGCAATAAAAATCATAATTTTATCAAATAGCAAGATATGAGCTATTGACTCTTTGATGCACCCAATGTAAAATATTATTCATCAGGAAAAATAAGGAAAATTTCAATTCCAACACTAAAAACTATTCTAACCTGTCTTCTGGTGCTGTCAGGGTCACTCAACCCCAGGGATAAGATTGGTATTATCAAAGGAAGCACTCGTTCACCAAGCTTCCTGACAAGCTCACCCAATGATCTTCCAGCAACCTACATGACAATCAGCAATAGGGATATATAATGTCTGCAAGCTGGGAAAATAGATTGACACAGATATAAGTGCAGACCTGCCGCCTTTCAGATGATGAAGATGCAAGTGATGAAATTAAAGTATCCATTAGAACTGGCATAATTTCCCTAAGAGTCTTTGGAGTATTTGCCACTATAGTTTTCCACACATGTAAAGCAGCCTGAGCAAAGATGTATTCAGTTGTTAAAGATATTAGGCATATTTCCAAAATTATAAAGAATCATACTTAGGGGGGGAAAAGAGAGAGAAAAGTAGATGTAGTAGCCATTACCTGACGTACTGACAAACTAACATCAGCTCGAACCATATACAATGCAGCAAGTACTTCATTACGCTTATCGCGCCCCAGAACCTCAATGATGGCACGTCCATGTGCCTCGGTACTAGAACCTTCATCATCACTGCCACCCTCAAGCAAAGCTTTACCAGAAGTTCCAGCAACCTGAAAGGAATAAACTGGCTCATAAATCAAATTATGTTCTGTGAAAGAGATGTCACAGGATGGACGACACCTACTTTGAACAATAGATCACCCAACAGCTCAACCGAGCTCTGTCGGATACGCCAATTATCATTAAAAATGCCATCCTCAACAGCTGGAAGGAGAAGAGGCAGAGACCTGTAGGAAAAAAATTATTAATGGCAGGGCATCCCAACTTCTGGTATTCATCATAAATATAATCCAATCAATCAATAATAATAGCTCGAACATTAGTAGTTCAATAGTTCACTAACATTAAACTTTCCACATACACATTCTGGCATAATTGAGCATGTAATGCAAAAAAACAAGGATAGAACATACGTTGTTGCATAATGCTCTACAAGGACATGGCCAGCCCCAAGTGCAGCATCACGTACAGATTCATTCTCATCAGCAAGACCTACAAACCATTTAAAGAACAACGAATTTAGATCCAACAAGCCAGGAAACAACAATGATAACACATAATGATACCCAAAAAATAGTACCATACCATCTATGATAGCAGGCAGCACCTGTTGAAGATAGTTCTGGAACTGAACTCCTAATGACCGTGGCAAATACTAAAAGAATATTTTGAAAAAACTGATTAAACGGAGACTGTAAGAGTAAAATTAATCTTCCAAGAAAATTGTGAAAGGTACTGCACTTTAACTGTTTTACCTTGAACAACGTCAAGTATCCGTCTCGAACAGCTGCTTTTTGATGGGAGCAATTTCGAATAACATCAGGAAGTAAATGTTCAAAGAACTCAATGCCAAGCGCAGCCAAGACCTGAAGTTTATTCGGGTGATGGAGGAGTACGTGAATAATGGGTTAAAAGAAATAAGAAGATAAAAGCATCCCTTTAAAGAATGATGTTATCATTCAATTCTGATACTAATAGTATGCAGTTAAATATAATTTTCCATGTGTAGGGTTTGATGAAAAGACCTCCAACATTTGTATAATGGATAGAGCCTCTCAGAGTTATAAGTTAATTAGAAACTTTTTCAGCCATAAAAAATATTAGCAGGTTTGTCAAACAAATTCTTCTCTTGTTTTCCCATCGTATCCTTCTTAACATTTTTTTATTCAATTTAATACTATATATATCCTTTGTTACAAAATTTCTCTGCCACCCAACAGAGAAACCATGTTTGTTGTTATGACTTCTCATACCAAATTAAAAGCCAAGTGCAACAATAAGAAATTCCAAGGGGCTTAAAAAGTATAACCTAAAAAATAAAAAATCTAACCTCACTCAGGCCTTGAGCTGCTCCAGAGCGTTCAACATTACTATTATCAGACTTCAGTGTGTCGAACAACCACGGGACAAGATCAGGGAAATTTTCTTGGCCCATTCCTCCAATAAGGGAACCAATGGCTCTGGCAGCAACTGACCGAACTTCAGGGATAGGATCCACAAGAACCTGTTCTTATGATATATGCATGAAATGAGAACGGAACACAGCAAATGTATAAGCAATAGTAAGGAGGTACCTTTTTCACTTCAGGAAGCAACAATCCTATATATGGAATCATATCCTTCGGTTCTGTCACCAATGAACACATGTTTCCAACTATTTGTGCTGCCCTCTTCTTAGTGTCAGCACTTCTTTCCCTTAGTCCTCTATGTACTATTGGCACCAATAATGCAAGTGACGGGGCATCAATTGAATTAACAAAGGTTGTCTGCAACCAACCAATAAGATTTTAGTCAACCAAATAGAAGACTAAACAAAATCAACCCAGTACAAGCCATGAACATTACTTGGAGAAGAATATCAAGGGAATATTTTGTGTGCTCATTAGGATCACTAAGTCCCTTGAGTAGAGTAGGCACAAGAGCAGATATTTCTGGATTCTTTATCACACTCCCAACCTGAAAGTTAATATGAAAATATGTACATAAATACGATTTTTTTTTAATATATATATTAAAAAAAAATACAACACTACAATAATCCCAGATACAGAAATCAAATGCATAGAACAGTTTATAACCCCCAAGACTAACCTGCTGAAGGGCCATTTGCCCAGCTGACTGAACTTTAGGATGGGTATCGGTTAAAACCTTCAATTAGAGAGATGGGTTAGGGTAACACTACCAATAGAGTACAAGAAAATCAGAACCCAAATGTTATATTTGCTTCATCTTATACCTCAGTCAATTTGGGAACAATCTTAGGGAGGCACTGAGACAACTGTTGAGGAGCACAGTAAGCCATAGCACCAAGTAGTTGTACACTACTTTGTTTTGTCCTCCAAGCTTTATCTTCAAGACCCTGAGCAAATAGATTAGCTATGCAATAGTTCATTGAAATAGAAGCATAGTAATTGTCTTATGAAGCACTCATATTAACTTTACGAACAAATTTGAATCTTCATAGCCTGATCAAGCCCTATTTAAACATAGTCGGATAAATGAGACTTGAGAAACATTTTACTACCCAACTCTCCTTCACATTGCAACAGGTGTTACAAATATATTCGGAATACAAATTACAATTGTAATTTGTATTCATATCCCTAGGTGCAACGAATTCGACATGAGAATTAGGAAAAACATCATATGTCAAATGATATTGTGACAAATTAAAACAGCAACAAAGTTGCGGACAAATTCATAGCACTGTCATAATTTCATAAACATTAAAAATGTTAGTAATCTTAATAAATAATCTTAAAGTATCAATTCAACCCAAAAGCTTAAGCTGTTAGATGAAGACCACATTAATGATTTTAAATTATATTTCTCTAATATATACGTTCTAACAAAATCCAACAGGAAAAGACTACCCAGCAATGTAGCCACATAAAGGAGGGTAAAACCGCTTGGGTGCCTGCTACTTTTGTAGCCATTTGCTGCATTAGATCCAGTTTTGTCAATAGCAAATGGCCAATGGCAGATACCAAAATTCCACTCTTCCTTGTGACCAAATAGTAGAACCATGACATCCATGTTTAAAAATGTAAAACATACTAAAAATAACTGCAGAATATTTTTTTTTTTTTAAATCTGACTTTTGAAAAATTGCTACTTCTAATCCTATTTGAGTGTCATAGTCCAAACAGAAAAATGACAAGTAACTATCTTGTGTTGATTTGGTTTATCTTTTCTTCACCTCGTGATATAATATCCAGCATTGAAATTTAATCATATGTACGAGGGAGCAATGGATTAAAATTGAGGCATAAAGAGGTTTGATTAAATACTGAATAAACGAAAATATCAACAGCTTTTATTGCAAGATTTAGAAATGAATATCGAAGTACATTTCATTTATCTTCGGACAAAAGGTTTTGTCAATCATAACCATAAGCAATATTTATCACCTTCAAAAGAGATGGGAGGACAAGCTTCACTCCTTGAGCACTAAGTTGAGACATCATTGCACGAGCAGCACATTCAGCTGCTTCCCGAACTGCAACAACTTGATCAGAGAATGAAACCAAAAGTAATGGTAACATCTGAATCACATACCTGAACACAATTGTGGTGAAAATAATTAAACACCAAAAAATAAAACTACATTAATAATCAATGACTATTGGGACAATATACTCATCAACGTACGGTTCAAATAGTCTTCCAAGCGTTTCGCAAAGGCACTCAAATCCAAGTAGAGCTCCTTCACGAGATTTCGCGGAGTTTCTGCAGTTTAAAAATAAAATTAACATAAATGCAAGGTAGATGTATGTTCCCTTTTCTCGTATTTTGATGGTCAGACACAAAACATTATTTTTTATGAAATTCCATACACTGCAGGGAATTTAGAAAATAGACAGTTTTAAGAATACAGAACATGTATAACAAAGAACTCTCCAACCTTTCGGCAAGAGCATCTTGAAGTATAATAACAATCCTATACTTTTTCAAGCAAGAAATGCCAAATCCCTTAACCACTCCGGCAAGACCAAAAGCAGCCCCACGGCGTTCTCCAAATTTTTCACTTTTCATCATCTGATTCAACAGCCGAGTAACAAGAGCTGCTGCATCATCCTAACAATGGTATTTATAAAATAAAACAATAAAACACACTTCAGTAAACATCTAGATAACATCAAAATGTAAGAGAATATTAACCCTAACTTTTAAGTATGTATTTATGTTGAAGGTATGCATTGGTTAGCAAGCATGAAAGAGCAAACTATATACTTTCAACAAGATGAATTACTCCCAAAAAAGCACAAGGATTATATTGAAAGATTTCGCAAACTACTTTCACCAAGATAAATACTCCTGCACAAGCACATAAATGTATCACAACACCAAACATCAAGAACTATTCACGTTGGACCTATTGCTGGTGTCGGTATTACATAATATCCATCCAATCAACAAAAGAGGGACAAGAATAATTATTCAAACAAGGATTCCCCCCCCCCCCCTCTTATTTTTATGCAATGCCGACAGAGTTGAACTCCTACTGTCAAGATCGATCCAACAATTTTTTACAGGACCAGAAATAAAAGCATCAGATATTAACTATTAGAATGCTGATGCATACTTGTTTCGATTGCATTAACGGAGATAGACATGCAGAGACTGCCCGTTGAACAGCTTCTGAAGGAGTGTTTAAAACATCCAACAATTTGTCCACAACAGCATGAACCTTAGGATCATCCTGTTCAAACAGAAATATTAATACTAGCAAAATTTTAAAAATCAACTGGCTACCAAAACTGAGAAACAAGTAATAAAATTTCAATACTAACCTTTGCCAAGTGTTTTGCCAGAGCTCCAGTGAAGATAACTACACCCTCACGAACTAAGTCATATTTTTCTTCATCTGGTGCCTAAGAAATTCGGGAAGAATCTATTAACAAAAGACCACCTAAAACTCTATATCGCGTCTAATGTAACTGATTACAGAGAAAGAAAAAGAACCCCAGGACAAGGATTCAACACATGCAACTCCAATGGAAAAGGAAAACTCACAGTTTTGTTTAAGTAGTTCTCAAATATGGGGAATAACAACGAGACATTATCTTTTCCATTTTTATCAATAATCAAGATACCAGCATTGATCATTCTGCCTCTAACATCAGCATTTGGATCAGCCTGCAAAACAAATTAATCCCCAGAAATGTTATTTACACTTTACTGGAAAATAAACATTTTTTGTAGGAAATTATGGCCATAGAAAATGGTAACAGTTCACTCGCACCATTGATACAGAACATACTAGCATCAACAAAGCATAAGCTTAAGGATTGGATTGCCTTCACGTTTTGGTTTAGTTTGAATTGTATGCTGGTTCTAAATTCAATAACAATATTAGACCTCTATTATTGAGACTAACAAGCATTAGAAAGTTGTTAATTTATCTTATTTCAGTATCAGAACTTGGAAATAATTTTGGCAGTTGCGGAACTTGTGCTGTATTCGACCTTGGGCTTACGTTGCTTAGGTGTTTATACTTTATAGTGTTTGGTTTCAACACCCTAGCTCGCCTTGTTTGTTTAGTAGTATTAGGCTATTTAGTAATCTATCAATCTTATATGACTAGGTTTTTATTCCTCATTTTTCAAGCCTAATATTTTTAATTTATTTTTTGGCGAGGGAGTGGGGCTATCCCTCCTTGAACGTGTGATGAAACCAAGCCCGAGGTATCATGCCTAGGTTTCTTTTTTCATCTAAATATCTAAACTAATTTCATTAATGTTACCACCGGACAGGGTCAGATTTCTTCCACAAACATCATCCCATATAGATAGCTGTTTTCTTTTACGAATGGCACGCTACGCCTGACGCCAACCCTTCTTCATTACCCTGGTTTAGGATAGGCCATGCATGCATAGATAGGCAGAGTTCCGCTAAGGATATCTAGGATCTAATTTGCAAAAAGGTGAAGAGATTGACGAAGATGTAAACCACATAATCAGAGCAAATTGGATGAAATGGCATAGTGCATTAGGGGTTTTGGGTGATCACAAATATCCCGAGGCTAAAAGGAAGGTTTTATAGAATGACAATAAGACATGAAATATTATACGGCACTAAATGTTGGCCGGTACATAGGCAATATTAGCACGAAATGGGAGTAATGGAAATAATGTTAAAGTGAATGTATGGTCATACAAGGATAGATAAGATAAGAAACGAGAATAATTATCGAAAGGTAAGATTAGTACCGATGGCTGAAAAAATGAGAGAGAGGTTGAGATGGTTAGGGCCTACAATGCAAAGAACCCTACATGCTCCCATTAGAACAAAAGTTAGTTATCAAGAGCTTGACACAGAGAGAGGAAAAGGTCTAGAAATTAATAAAACAAGACTTAATGGAATGGGAATTAGATTGGCAGATGGTGTCTTAAGACAAATAGGAGGAAAGTTATTAGTAATGTGGAGGGATAGACCATTTTTTTCCTATGTTCTTCAAGACAGTCCCCATTTCATCCTTTTTCCCAATATTTCCCTTCATTTCTTTGTATATTTATTTAATTATTCTCCTTTTTTTATTTTTCCCTTTTATTTATTAATTTTTATTTGAACAATTTATTCTTTCTATTTTTTTCTCTTATCTATATTTGTTTTCACTTTATTTCTATTCTTTTTTTCATTTTCCTTTTGGAATTTAAATTGTTAATTATTTTTATTTATTTATTTATTATGTTCTCTTCTTTTTCCTCAATCTTTTCTTGTTTTTCATTTGGATTCAGCGAACATCAACCCCAACCAGTTTAGGATATGCTGACGTCATCCCATAGTAGTTAATTGCGCCGCAATAGCGTCGCGAGCCGCGCCGTATGGGCGTTGCGGTGCCTCACCGCAAGAAACCGCTCCGAACCGTATCGAAAGGCAACAGCGGCCATTGCGATCGCAAATCGCGGCTATATTGCTGTTATAAGGCAAAATGTCAATTTTGTCCTAAATTTAAATGTGTAACAAAAAAATTTGAGTAAACACCCTTTTTAGTCCCTGGCAATATCTACGAAGTCCTTTTCAGTCCCTGGCAATAAAAAAGGACCAAATTGGTCCCTGAAAGTACAAGAAAAGGGCCACTCTACATATTTGGGAGTTGACATAAGGACTAACATGGCCCTTTTTTTGTAATTTCAGGGACCAATTTGGTCCTTTTTTATTGTCAGGGACTAAAAAGGACTTTGTAGATATTGACAGGGACTAAAAATGGTGTTTACTCAAAAAAATTTAAGGGTTTTTTAGTCTATCTGCATCTCTCTTTGTCACTTCTGCTATCTTTGCCTTTAAAAAATGTTTCTTTTTGTCAATATTTATGTCATATATCTATTCCTCTATTTCCGCAACCCGCTATAAGTCTATAACGCTATAGCGTTTTTCGGGGTTGGCCGCGACATGCCGCGATCCGCATTTGATAACTTTGCGCCATCCTATATTCAACTTTCAACCTCATCAAATTTCATGATGTTTCTTTTCTAATCTGGAGTCCTAAAACCCAACAAATCCCGGGAACTGCACAAGACACCCAAAAAGCCACAAATCTAATCTCGAAACCCCTCCTATTGTGCGTGAATGCCTAATATCCTGGCATGCACTCAATGAACCTTAGATCTGCCCGTAGTCTATCATATATTCACCCAAGAAAACACTAATTCTGGTATGTAAAAGTGAAAGAATTTCGCCGTCCTAGAATGATGAATGAACCTACTAAAGCAAAAATTGAAAGCTCACAGCAAAATTGTTGCTATTCATCTGGCATAAGCTCAAAAACATTTTACAGGAAATAGATATAGACTACAATAAGTAATATCAGATATTAACTGGTCAATAATAAATCATGGTAATCTCACTAAAAATTATTCTCATTTTTGAGTCATACAAATTGGATATAAATTCTGACCAGGGTATTTCCTCCAGAAATGAGCAATTGAGCATGAAAATAAGTTTCAGTTTCAAAACTCAAGTGAAAATTACCAGTGCTCTTGATATTAGAAATGTCATGACAACAGGTAGGTCTTTTGTTCTCAACACATCAGCAGCAGACAGCAATGCTAACGCTATTCCTTGCCTACCCAGCCAACCAGCATCAACATTGTCATCTCCAATACCCATGTCACGAATATACAACGAAAATAAAGTGGAAAGAGTCTCCTGAAAATTATCAGCAAATTATGAGATAAAACACGCAGCAAAAGAGTACAAATTACAAAGCAAGCATACTTGTATAGAATCTGGATATTCATCCAAGCCAGCAGCTAATGCTTCCGCAGCTGCCAGACGAACATTGTAGTTAACATGAGAAAGTGCTTTGAAAAGTCCTGAAAAGTCAGTTCCAAAGTCAAACCCATAATGATCCCATATGTCTTCTGCCACTTCAGCAACTGACTGAAATGTTAAAAACATTGCATTAGTTGTCATAAAATAGTTAGAGTTAACGAAAATTTTATGAAAATTATACCGAAATAATAGTAGTAAGCAGTACAAAATTTCCAAAAACAATCAGCAAGACCTACTATAGAGATGTCGGAACATAATGAAAAGAAATCATAACCCAGAAGCCTTAATGTGTCAATTAAGAGTCTAGGTAGTTGAGTCTAGCAGAGATTATTACCAGAACATTTTAGATACTCAATCAAGACTCAAGAGTCATTGTTCAAGGAATTTGAGAAGTTAATTAAGTCAGATAAATCCAATCTCATAATCAGGAATCTAATTACTATCTTGGTTTGAAAATAAAATCATTTAAAGTTTTTGCACAGGGATTAAGAAAGCCATTAAATACCTTAATTTTAAAAGGAAAAGTAAAATTTGACTAAATTAATTTTCAAAACTCTCATTTTACTTTGAGCATTTTTATCAAAACCCAGTCAGACCACCGGAAACAAATGTAAACCGGTTAACCCACCTGCAAACCGGGTCTGGCCGGTATTAAACCTGTACCGGTTTACAAATAGAACGCGTTTGAAGATTTAATGCAAAATAATTAGAGGGACAAGCACCACCTAGGAATCAAACTTGCAACCATGCAATAAACACTTTCCACTTAGCCAATTGCATCAGCTGGTCATAATTCTTATATTATTGTATTTATTATATATTTCTATATAAATTCAGTTTAACTAGTTCGACCAATGATCCAACGGTTGAACCAGTACCCCAACCGAGTCGATGACCGGGCAGAGTTTAACAACACTGACTTTGTGGTCATACAAAGAGAGAAGAATGAAGTAGGAAAAAAAACTAATCTGAAGAAGAAGTGGAAGAAGTGTTTTGTCTGAATAATACTTTCTTGATTCATTGAGAGACCCAATGGGTCCTTTTTAAATTGAGTACATCCAACTACCTCAACTACTTTAATAAATATACAACCACCAACTACATCAATAAATATACAACTACCAACTAAATATACAACTACTAACTACATCAATAAATACTATCTAGAATATTCTACATATTCTACACTCCCCCTCAAGTTGGGAGATATATATTGATCATTCCCAACTTGCTGATCAAATTCTCAAAGGTCGGCTTAAGTAATCCTTTGGGGAGGATATCTGCCGTCTGTTCCTTGGTAGGTATATATGTCAAGCATACACTACCGTCTTCTAATTTCTCTTTGATAAAGTGACGATCAACTTCCACATGTTTTGTTCTGCCATGATGAACAAGATTTTGAGCAATGCTGACAGCAGCCTTATTATCACCAACTCCTCCAGAAGCCTTCTTAACCAAATTCTTTCACAAATACCATGGGCTAGAGCCCGAAATTCCGCTTCTACACTACTTCTTGCAACAACAGTTTGTTTCTTACTTCTCCACGTCACAAGGTTTCCCCAGACATAAGTACAATATCCTGAAGTAGATCTTCAGTCCATTGCAAAGCCAGCCCAGTCTGCATCTGTATAGATTTCAATCATCCTTTTGTACCCTTTTTTAAAGAAAATTCCTCGACCAGGGGTATTTTTGAAGTATTTGAGAATTCTATAAACATCTGTATAGATTTCAATCATCCTTTTGTGCCCTTTTTTAAAAAAAATTCCTCGACAAGGGGTATTTTTGAGGTATTTGAGAATTCTATAAACAGCATTAAGGTGTTTTTTTTTAGGAGAATGCATGAATTGGCTAACCATGCTCACAGCAAAAGCAATATCAGGACGAGTGTGAGACAAATAGATTAATTTCCCCACTAGTCTCTGGTACTACACCCTATCAACATTTTCCCAGTCCTCAACTCCCATCTTGATATTAGCTTCAATTGGAGTCTCTGTCGGCTTGCACCCAAGCATACCTGTTTCTTGCAACAGGTCTAGAATGTATTTTTTTTGAGTTAAGAAATTCCTTCCTTACTCCGAGCAATTTCCATGCCAAGGAAATATTTGAGAGATCCAAGATCTTTTAGTTCAAACTGGTTAGCTAAACATTTTTTTAAAGAGGTTACCTCCTCGCTATCATTACCAGTGACAATTATGTCATCAACATAAACGATCAGAATAGCAATTCTTCCTTTGTCGGAGCATGTCGGACACAGTCGAATTCGCGTGTCGAAATGGTCAACGTGTCGGGAGTCGGAACGTATCGAAGCGTGTCGGACACGACACTTCCTGTGTTTTGGAGTGTCCATGCTTCCTTGGTGATCTGCATTGCTGGATTGTCTCCAGAAGACGAAGAGTTGGGAAGGCGTGAGGTTCCAGACGAAATTTCAGAAATTTCAGCATCCATGGCTTTCTAACAGGTACCCAGAAAATAAGTTCCTCCAAATACGATTTTGACCCTCAAAACAGGAAGAGGGTTGCTCGTCAAAGTCAATGAATGAGAGCAATCTTGGCCACAGTGAAACAGTAATTGCTACAATAATGAACAGTACTGCTACAGTAATGAAGAGTACTGCTACGGGTCTTTTGTTGGCTGGCTCAGAATTTTGTTCTGAACCTAATGGTGGCCTTGGTTTCGTGGTTGGAGGTGTCTAGGTAAGGATTCTGGCTTGGGCAGTGGCTAAAACGAAAAAAAGGAATAGGAAAATGACTTAAAAATAAATCAGAACGGGGAAGAGACTGGAATATAACCAGCTCTTGATACCATGAAGAAGAAGTGGAAGAAGTGTTTTGTCTGAATAATACTTTCTTGATTCATTGAGAGACCCAATGGATCCTTTTTATATTGAGTACATCCAACTACCTCAACTACTTTAATAAATATACAACCACCAACTACATCAATAAATATACAACTACTAACTACATCAATAAATACTATCTAGAATATTCTACATATTCTACCTCTTTTCGGTTTTCTAAAGTGACATAAAATGAAAAATAATTTCTTCTCTATAACGGCTAATATTTTGAGACGGACAGAGGAACTAAAGAAAGTTCAAAAGTCATTAAGTCATTAATTATCGTTGTTCTATAAAACTTTCCTTTTAGCCTAAGAAGGATTTTATGATCACACAAAAAACCTGATGCACTACGTCATTTTCATCCAATATACTTTGATTTTATGGCTTACATCCTCATCACTCTCAGATTTAGATTCCAGACTTTCTCTCACTTTCACATATTTTTTATTACTTTCTCCCAGTTTTTGAAATCTAACCATAACAATGAGGAAACAACAAAAGTTTCACCCAAAGTGCTGTGATAAATAACAGCATATAGTTACACAAAGCAAAGTAGATAAAAAAGACAATAATAATAATAATAATAATGGTGAACAGAAAAGACAAAAGAAAAATGATCAATTAATATATTATAACAGAACAATTCTCTAAAGAGAAAATGAAAAAATGAAACACATCGTATCATAATTTTCGCGAAATTCCGGGTTTATTCTCTGTGGACAAGGTAAACTAAAAGAGCAACTTTAAGACTTGTAAGTTTCCAGTGAAAAAAAGGCAAACCTTCTCAGGATCATGTAATGCTATCCATATACTCGTAGCAACGTCAGTGTTCTCGGGTAGAGAACGATTAGCAACAGCAGGGATACATTTGACAGCATTTAAGCATGCCATTCTTACATGAACATCTTTTGCATAAACTCCATAAAGTGCCTGTAAAATCCCAAATTGAGAGATAGCACAAGCATTGTTATAGAGACACATAACTCAAACACAGAAAGAGAAAGCAATGCAAATAGAGTCAATCATACATACAGAAGCAACTTCATCAGGTTGAAAACCAAGGCTCAACTCATTTAGTGCAGGCCCTATTGATGCTTGATAAGCTGGAACAACACCAAGGACATGGTAAAGGACCTATAGAAAAGCATATTAATCAGATGGAAAGCAACTGGTGAAACAAAACAGAAGACTTCTATACAGTATAAATAGACTCTGTATTCAAGTAAGCATGAAATGTTGGACAAATTACCGATAACATTCGAATCCTAGGAAGTGGAAGATGGGGATCCAGGTGTAAATAAAATATCCGAAGCACGTCATCATGAAATTTTGTTTTCGTTGAGCACAGAAGAATTCGCTCCATTATCTATTTGGAATCAGAGTTAGAAACATAGGAATCTTGGTAAATTGATTAAATTGCATTTGAAAGTAGAACTGCTTACAGGGAATACAAAAGAAAAAGAATCTACAGGAAGTGCTCCTGATTTACATGAAGTGGATAAGCCATCTAAAATTCGCTCAAAAAGACCAAGGAATGGCCTTTCTTTGACTTCCTCTTCAGCTACTGATGGAACTAAATCCAACAGATGATGAACTTCATCAGTCACAATTAGACGCAAAGCAGTGGAAATGTCAAGGGCCCAATCACATAGAGGAGGAGCAGTGCATCTTGATAACTTCACCATGGTTTCAAAGGCCTCATCACTTACAATAGGCGATCGCAATAAAGGTTCAACAAACTTGACCTGACACAAGATTTAAACTCAGAATCACACCCATTAATTAACATATCACCTTTATATCATAAAATATAGGGAAAGACCTAAGCAATAGATATTACAGTCCCAATAATTTTGAAAGTATGTGCTCAAAAAAATGCACTTCATATTTAACTGAAAAGGAAGATAACAGTTTTAATAAAATTCAGATTGATGGTAGGTAATTCAAGTGTCATCAAATAAATGGTAGCAAATCAACAAAGAATAGCAGGGCAGCATGACAATACCATTGAAGGCAGTCGACTATGTGCAAAAACTGAATTGGCGATGGCCATATCTCCAAGAGCTCTTAGCATCAAAGACAGATTTTTCTCTATTTCATGGACTCTATCACGTACAGAAGCCTCCTCCTTGAGCAGTAATTCTCTTGCCTCCTCTTTTGCTGTCTTCCCTTTGTCTAAATGAATCACAGTAACGTCATAAATAAAAAGCAGCCTATGCATACTTTAAATTCAAAAAATACAAACTAAGAACAATAGAAGTGCAACACTTGCCAGCCTTCTTTGTTGTCTTTCCATCTCTTTTCCCTGCAGCAGCAGTTTCTCTACTAGCTTGATCTTTCTTCACTGAATGGTTAGAACGAGCATTATCCTGATCAAAGGAACAACAGACTATAACTAACTAAAACTCACAGGGGAGTGGAGCCAAAAAACATTAGAAAATATTAAGATGTACCAAGCCATCTTCATCATCATACATCCGGAAGCGGCCCTTTGCTTGTTTTGTGTTCTTAACAGCAACAGATTCAGCAACATAAACTCCTTGCTCAGTGGAAAGCATTCCTTCTGGGGTATGAAAGATCTGAAACCACGTGAGAAAAAACGCACACTGATATCATATATGCACATTGAGTAAATAAAATTGAACGTAGAAATCACAACATATGAAAAACATCACACTGATAATATCAATAGACAGCACAAAGTGCATCATGTGAATTACCTGAATATCATTCTCCGAAAGTGAATCATGAGAAAACCGCTCAGGAAGATTTAGCAAATGCTGGCATCAGGAATGTTTGGTATTGTAGTCAGTAATCAGAATTCAGATAGATAGAAATAAATCACAAGCTTCAAAGTTTACAGGCTCCAACTGAACAATAATCAAAGTATATGCATAGAAAAAACAAATCTACCTTTTCAAACTCCGTATATGTATCTCCAGGGATAATGGACATCAAGTTGGACAGTGACGATATTGCTGCCTGTTGTTCTAGTGGATTAGCACTCCTCAAACCCATTGGTCCCAGTAAGAACTGCAAAACAATATATCATTTGGCAGTTAGCAGTAATAAATAAACCTTTTCAAGGAGAGCTGGATTACACATGAAACTGTGGTCAAACAATTAGCACAATAGTGGACACAAAGATGAACTAACATGAATAAAGAGATGAGTCAGATGACAAGGAGACAAAATGAAGTATCCCTAAGCTAATACGATAATTTAGCAAAAGCATGTAATTAGAAAATAAAGGATATAACCAATTCTATGGCACAACCATTTCCCTGACCCAAACAGTAGGTGGCACTTTTTTTACTGCAGATTTCAATCTGAATCTGTCCAAAAACTTTGTTTGGTTTAGATTCAATCCAGTGATCCAAAAGTTGCCACATGGGTAGCAGCACCGGCGCAAGTATACAACCAAATGTAGCAGTTTCCCAAAGTTGTAAAGTAAGATAAAAAGAAAACTTGGATATTTAATATAGATAAAAGTATTTGTTTTATGTCATTTTAATTAAAAGTACTGTGTTTTAGGGTGAGAAAAACAGTTACACAATGGAAGATCATGGTGAGGGAGTGTGGGAAGTTATTGAGAGATTTTTTTTTTTTAAATATTAAGCAAAACACTATTATTTTACTTAAAATGACACAATTCTATATCCTTTAAAAGGATAAACACTTTTCCCTTTAATATATTCATCCCTTCAGAAGATTTAAATCAAACATCAGCTACTCTACCTATATACCCGAATGCACAAGAGATTTGTAGTATATAAATTACCTCTAAGAAATTAACCACATTAGCAGACATGATATGAATGACATCATAACCATGTGTTTGCAGACACTTGAAGAGCCTCTGAAAAAGAATGAAACAGGTCGAATTACCAAGCGAAAAAATAAAAAATAAAAAAATCAAGTTTCAAGTTCACGCATGCACAACAACAAAGATCACCTCACCACATATATTCACGGTACACAGTCATGCATGGACAGTGTAAAAACAATAATGATCAAAATCTCTCAGACCATAATCAAAACTAGAGTAGTTTACTCATTCAAAGACTCATAAAAAAATATTAGAATATAATTTTGAATAATAATTAAAAAAGGAGAGTTTATATGGTCTTGGGTGTGGGCAAAAGATACACTTAGTCCTCTATCCTAACGTGAGTTGGCTCTAGCTTTGAAAAGGCTGCTTTGTTTTATACTTCCCCACAACCACTTCCATCTGGACTTGGCGTTTAATGCTTTAAGTAAATCCAAGATGTTTCCTCACGATTTGGCACCAAAATTATGTTTATGAGCTGAAAGGGCTTCGGTAGAACAGAGGAGGAAAGATCTTAATGGGAGTACGCTATCTGCACAGGTCTTTGGTGTTTTTGGCGTCAAAGAAATCACCATATCCTCCTTTTCTTTTGTAATATTTCTTTCTTCTGTTTAATGACATTCCTACTTTTGAAAAATAGTAAACTTCAAAACTTCAAACTATATCATCACAATGGTTGAATATTAATATTATTTTCATCATAAGGGTATGGCAAGCGGGTTCCATATACCCCCTTTTCCCTCCCCCAGTATCAAAATCCTTTGAATATTTGATTTATACCCAAGGACACAATACAATATCAGTGAAGTGCATGCCACATAGCCTAAATCCTTGAAGGAGCAAAGAACCATGCACCACAGTAGTCCAAATTATTTTGGAATAAAAAAAAAATCAACCATTGTAGCCTCTTAATGTCTAAACATTCTTTACAATGATAGGAGAGATCACAAATAATTATATATTTATCACTAGCAATCTAATAAATTTTTTGTGATAACAATTATTTTATAGAATAGTATAATAACAATATCATCCTTTATTATATGAAACTCACTATATATATATAGTCGCCAACTAATTACTCCAAAACCTCAAGTTATTTGGTTTGGTGAGGACACGTGAATGGTTTTATATTACATCTCTACCATACCACCTTACGCAAGATCAATATTGGCTTAAAACGTGAACAATGCATATGCTCACCTATTTTGTGCTGAAATTTAACATTTTATTTATAAGGATGGGGAATAACAACAATCAAACTCTAGACTACATGATCATAAAGGATTGGATATTATGTCATGAATCAAACTATCTCAAAAGCTTAAACAGTTAGGTGAAGATACATAACTGATTTGAAATTCTATTTTATATATTTATATATATATATCGAGCCAGAGAACTAAACAAAAATAGATTTATAGACCAGTATCAACATGTACAGAAGTGTCCATAAACAGATCCTGCCATAGTAGGAGTTCATCATCCATACACATATTTCAACCCTCCAGCAACTCATGCCTGATTATTTAGGCTAGAATCAGATCACATATGCACCAGGTGCCAGCCTTCCTAAATTTTCAGATGAATTGCTAGTCTATATGACGATAAGAAATTAATTAAAATAAAAGAAAACAGAATAATAACAACCAAAGCAAAAAAGAAATATCACCTGTTAAAATAAAACAACACACAAATATGTAAATAACTACCTTCCACGCTGCATCTCTTTTAGCAAAACCAACTACAGATGGGTGATGTGAGCAAAGTATTATTCTGACAAATGAATCTGGAGAAAGTTTCAGAGCTGCTGGTGACATAATTAGCAGAGCCTTTACCAAAACCTCAACAGATGGAATGAATGGAACTTGAGGGTCCAAAGAAATATCACTGTCGCTGTAAATTAAAACTTAAGAATTTAAATGCAGAATGGCAAATATTGACAAGAGCAAAAGTATGATAGAAATAAATTGCAGTGTTACAAGACCACATTCTGGTCTTTATAATCATTATTAGGAGTCATATGAAAAACTACAGTAGATCACAGAAAAAATGTTTTCCTAAAACAGATGGTTGGCTTCTCAGGGAATAAGATATGAGAGTGGGTGCTTAGACAAGTGTCTTTCAAGAAGCAAAACCAAAGATAATTAACACACACACACACATATATATGTGTGTGTGTATGTGTATGTGTATGTATGTATAAGAAATTAAAAAATTCAGGACTAGAGGATCACTAAGCTTTTTGCTAGTCCTATTGCAAGATGTAAAACTACTACTAGGAAGAGGTACATTTCTGAAATAACCACGTCTTAGTCCAATTGGCCTATACAAATTTAATTGATACATATGGAAATTAGTGTACAATCAGCTATTTACCTTATTCTTAAAGCTAAAACTTTCTCTCCAATCAAAGAAAGGTACTTTGAAAGTTCAAAGAAAAGATCTTCAGATAATTGCGGAGTGGAAGTAATAATCTTCCTAGCAACATTATAAGCCATTCTTCGAATATCCCACCTCGGATGGCATATAAAAAAGATCATTAACTGCATGAAGCAAATAATAACTGAGTCAATAAAGCATGCCATTATAGGAATCTTATATAATGCAAAGTGTTTTACCTGTAACAGCAATCTGACCGAGAAGTTGGATAACGTACTACAGAACAAAGAAGAAACATAATCAAGCATACAACTCATGAAGAAATAAATTATGGAAATCTTTTTTGCATTATAGATGCAATTTACCGCTGTAAATGTTCCAGAAGAAGCACTTCAAGAAGATCAACACATGCCATGCTATCCTCAATTGATAACTTGGATGCCTGCAGAGCACCTCCTTTTCAGAAATGTTGAATAAAATTAGGGTAAGGCTAATAAAAAAACTTTAGTAGAGTAATCACCATGGAAATTGGCACCAGGGAAGGTTCATTTTGTGATACCACAGACCATATCTTTTCCTTTACCAATGTTTCCTCTAGGGAAATAAAACAGAAATGAATAAATGAAAAATTTAGGCAAAAGAAATCAAACCAAACTAAGCTACTGCTCGAAGTTCAAGTACATAAAGATCCTAATAATACAAACCAGCTTTAATATCAACAGCAGCTATCTTTCCTACTAATAACAATGCATATATGCCATCTAAACGTTGCACCGCCTTGGTAAAGCCAGTTTTCACAAGTTGGACAAGAGGGCCAAGCAACGGTGACATCTGAAAAATATTAAGTTGGAATGTAAGGGGATGAAATTCACATAGTATACACGAAATTAATTGAAAGGCAATCATAATCCATTAACATGACAAGTCACCCTTAAGACAGCATCTGCATTTTTGCATATAGCATGTAAACTGCGCAGAAAACCCCTTCTTAATGTTTCCTTCTCTTTGAGACCAGAAACGAAAAAGGAAATTAAACTTTCTTGAATGATATCTGTAGATCTAATTGCCCAGGAAGCTATAGCTGACAACGTCACAATTTTAACCTCCTCGTTTCCTGCCAATTAAGAGAGGAGCATGAATCCGCACCAAATATGATCCAAATAAAGACCTGTTTGGGATTTTTTCAACCAAAAAAGTGTTCTTCTAATTAAAATATACTTCTAAAATTTTTAAGATAAACTGATAAGATTTAAAGGAAAAAAAGAGAGCAAAAGATACAAAAAAAATAAGGTTTTATATTTTTTCAAAAGATAAAAATTCCAGCTTAAGAACAAACAAACAAAACTTACAGGTTTTTGCATTTTTTAACCTCTTTGGTTCATTATTTTGTTTTTGTTTTTCGGTTTAGGAAGATATCTTATTCCTTCCACCAATATGTAATTTCTCTCTTTAACAATACTTTCTTCTTTCATAAACAAAAAAGCGAAAGACCAGTTGAGTTAAAAAAACATAAAAAGAAACAAATGCATAATTAAAAGGAATATAGAGCTTGTGCTTACCATCATCCTTGTAGAAGGATAAAAGAAAATCACATATTGCATGTGAAAGACTGATGAGGTATTTTCCATCGGGTGAATTGGATAATTCTTGTATTGCATTCACCATTCCAACTCTTTGGTATGGAAAAGCCAGCCTTCCTTCTGAACCTATTCAGAGTGAAACAAATATAGTCAAAATATATTACAAAGGCCCAATTAATAACATCAATCAAAAATCAAGATAACAAGTATCTCCAAATGGTCTAATGGTCATATCATAACAACGCAAGCATAGGGTTATTTCTTACCTTTAATAACAGCTTTGATAGCGTTGAACATTGTGTCTAATGCATCCGGATTGCTAGATTTTTGGCTCAGAATCCTGACTATAGCTAATGCCCCATTCCTTCTCCCTTCATCAGCATGCCGAGCCTGTGCTAATACCACTGAAAGAACTTCAGCCGCATACTTACTCAAATCAAGGTTAACAGACTTCAAAAGAATTCCAACAGACTCCAATACAATCTCCGGGTTGCGTTTTAGCATTTTAACAGAGGATGGTATCACAGTATTTTGAAAATCTTCATGTGACATTTGCAAATAAAGTGGACAAAATGCTTCAGTAAGACTCTTTCTTGGCTTCTCTTTTGTACTCAGTATTGCATTAACATATATATCAAGAAATGCTGGCTGTAAAGAGAGAAAAATTACATTAAAATCCTGTGGAAATCAACCCAACGTAAACATAAATCCCAAAATTCATGTATACTCACCTTGAATTCTCCAAATAAAGGGGGAGCTCGACTTGAGAACTCCAGTAACAACAATAATAGTTCCGGACTATCCTTGTAAGGGATTCGGTCATTTTTCAGTTCTTCTATGTAGACTTTATAAATATCTGGTGACTGAAAACACATAGTCATATAAATTGCAAGAATTTATTTCATGCAATGAAATTGAAAAGGAGGAGACCAAAAGGCTAAAATTCAAGGAGCAACAAACTCTCATATTAGAGTACATAAAGTAAAATAATGGAGGAGGAGCTGAACCTTAGAAAATAAATGGAAAAACTTTTTCTTGCAAGCCCTCTTCTCACGAAAAGATCTTTGGAAAACTAAATTAAGTAAAGAAGCCTGTGCCACAGCTACTCTACACAAAGCATTCTTTGAAACCGTGGCAAACTGGCTTTTGCTCAAAAGGAGACATGACCAACTGACAAGTCTGTAGCATCCCACATGAGATTGAAACTTCACTTGCTTTTCCATATTCTGAACAAGAGCTGCAGCGAAGGTTTTCATGAAAACAGTTCCACCTAAAGCTCTTACAATCACATCATCAACAGCTTTCCTTGATCTACGATCATCATAAATCGAAACCGTTCTAAATACTATATCAGTCAATAATGAGGCAACCTCTGCTGACATATCTGCAAAGAACCAAATTATGCATAAAGAGACCTCTCTAAGCAATAAAACACAATAATAATTAATAAACCTTCCTTAGTTAATCCCAATCCAACTATGAACAAAACCAACAATTAAACACTTGTGCTTTAAGAAGTGAGGTGCAGCGTTGGTTAACTTAATTCTATGCATTGGTAAAGTGCCTTTGGCAATTGGAAATGCTATATTAGCGTGATCGCTTCGCTGCTGACCTGAAGTAGGAGAATTCAAAAACGCAGGGATTTCGCGATGAAATATCCGAACTCGTTGGTTAGTAGACGAAGTAGTAACCAATTCGGAGAGGGAAACCAGAGATTGCAATGATTCCGCCATTGTAAAAAATGGGAAGATCCGAAGCTCAGAATCAGATTATTAATGCAAAGACGCTTCAGTTTCAGTTCCTGCAACACAACACACAGTGTGTTTCAGTTTCTCAGTACCAATACTGGTTAGGGTTTTGGGGGCTGCTATATCCTGCTGTTCCAGTCCAGTTCCAACTTTTACTGAAATGAATCCAAACTAAGGACGAGTTGTCTTTATCTCTTCTCTAATCTCTCTCGCTCGCTATTTTCATTTTTTTGGGGTCGGATCTCATATGACAATAATATATTAAGAGGAAGGATTATTTGGGTCCATCCTTTTTTATTTTTCTGGCCCCTCAGGCTTTATATAGTAAGAGCATATCGGCCCAATAAAGGAATAGAGGAGCCCAATTCAATCTTGAATATGGGCCTACATTATGTGGGCCTTATTACTAACCGCTACATCGTGTATATGATCTTGATATGTGTTCTATACAATGGTTGATAACCATGTTGGAATTGGTCAAGCATGACTCGGGTCTATTGCGCTTAAAACAACCTAGTGCTGCGTTTCTTTAACAAAATGGCGATTCCATTCATGATTATTGAACGAGCCATGTATTCTCTTGTTCTCATGTTGGTTTTAGGGGATGTTTGGTAGAGGAGAAATTTTTTTTACTAGGTAAATAGAATTACTGGAGAAATTGTAAGGAAGTGAGTTCGCTGATAAAATTGGAAAAAAATTGTTTGGTTAAACAAAATATTACTGGATAAATTAATTAAAGTTTTGTAAATCTATGGTGTTTTTTATCCATTTTCCCATTCATCTAAGAATACCACATTAGAAGTGACATTTTTCCCTTGTGTTTGTCACCAATTTTTGTTCACAATTGATAAATGATGAGCATTCAAGTTTGCTTGCTAAATTTTTAAAAAACTTCAACCAAACTTGAAGAAGACAAAATGCTACTTACAATTGCATAGGTATCTCATGAGAATCCTTGAACCAAACACTCCCCTAGAAGAAGAAAAAAAAATTGCAGAAATAGAATTGGCATTCTGTGCCTCATTTAAAAAAATCTAAAACTACCATTTTCTCTTGTAAAAGAGATCGGTGATTTTATATTTTTGAATAAGATTTAATTTCATTTACTAATATACCCTTTTTCATTTTATAAATTGACATTACTATCGTGAGCCTACCTTAACATATTTTTCGTGTCTTACAATTAATTTTCAATACTTATTAAATTTAGAGCATATAATAATTGTAAATATGCGAATGAGTTTTTTACATGTTCCATTGTTCTTAAAACAACCTGGCGTTGGGTTTCTTAACTGAATGGTGATTGCATGCATGATTATTGAAGGAGTACGTATTCTCCCGTTCTCGTGTTGGTTGTACTTGTACCAAATATATATATATATGTATAGAATTCGCATTCAATGCCTCATTTTAAAAAATCAAAAAAGACCATTTCCTCTTATAAAAGAGATAGGTGATTTTAAATTTTAAAATTAGTAAAATACCCTTATTCTTTTACTAATATATTTTTTGACAATTATTTTAGGAGGAGGGCATCTTCTTTGGGTCCATCTATTTTTAAGTGGGCTCTTTATGGGCCAACCTAGCTGTCTAAAGTACATCCCCATGTTAGTAAGAGTGTATCAGCCCAAGAAAGGAATGAGGGAGCCCACTTCAATCTAAAATATGGGCCTTATTAGTAATCTCGATATACTGCATATAATCTTGATATGAGTTTTATGCAATGGTTCAAGCAGCACTCGGTTGGTGATTACCAATAGATTTCCAATAAAAGAAAACTAATTAGATTGTAAAAAAAAAATAGAGGTGGCAAAACGAACTGACCCGCCCCAATTTACCAAAAATAGATTGTTCGTCCCGCCTCGCATTTTGATATGGGTTGAAAATCTTAACACATCCTGTTTTGTGGTAGGTTGACGAGTTGGCAAATCAACCCGCTTAAAAAATAAAAAATAATTAAAAAATAAATTATATTTTATTAATTTTATAATATTACTTATTTTCATTTTATAATTCTCTTGTTTTTTTTCAAATCTCAAGCCTAAATGTATACCAATATTCAGTCAGATATTTTTTAGGAACTTATTTTCGCCTCAATATATTGGATAACCTTTGTCATAAATAAAGTTTTTCTTCTCTATTTTTTCAAGGGGAGTACTAAGATAAAAAAAATTTATATCACAAAAGTTTAGTGACAAATAAAATACTACCTTTAGCACAAAAAAAAAACTAACCCGCGGGCTAATCCACCCTCATCCACCGCAAACCCGTTTTGACCCATAACTAAGCGGGGCTGGTTGAGGTGGATTGAAATATATAACCCAACATGTCCCATTTTGGCGGGTTAACCCGTTAACCCATCGTGTTCAACCCATATTGCCACCTTTAAAAATAATAATTGTTGATTGGATTAGAATGTCCTAATTTAAATTTTAAGATTAAATAATTATAACCTTATTCATTGATATAATAGATATTTCAATTAATTATAAATTTTAAAATGAGAGTAATTAATTTAATATTATTAAAAGGGCAAGATTTATTTTGCCACTTACCTAAAATTATATTATTTGTAATTGAAATTTGAACTTAATTTAGGGTTTTTAAATTATAACATATATAAAATAAAAGGAAAAGTGTTTTTCCTATTAGAGTAAATAAAGTTATCATTTACAACCCCAGAATGTTGTCATTTTGGAATTTGAAATAAAAATAAAAGATATTTTAGAAATTTTACTTTTTAATTATAGGATTCATTTTTTCTGCAGTTAATATAGATAAGTTATCTACATTGAGCCAAAAATGATGTCGTTTTGGAACAAAAATCAAAGTATTTTTGTAATTATAATTTATTTTAGGGTTATGATAGTTTTTCTCATTATAATTTTTTAACCCAAAATGACGTCGTTTTGAGAATAAATGTAGATAATTTCTCTACATTCACTATAGAAATATTAAAGTCTTTATTATAATATATATTTTACATAAATATTCTTTATTTTTTATTCTAAACCCCAAAATATATCATTTGAGTTACATGAGATGGCTTTTTTGTGTGTGTGGACATGAGATAATAACTTTATCTCGAAGAAACGTTAATTTATAAAATAAAGTTATGTTAATTGAGAATACAAGTCCTTCACGTAAATATGAATTTCAAAGAAGAAGAATTTATGTATGGATGAGGCATGACATTAACTTCACGGGCATATATTGTATTTTATATAATGGAAAAAATATTTCTGAAGTTAATACATATAAGTTATCTGCATTTATTCTCAAAACGATGTCGTTTTGGTATTGAAATCTTAAAAAATTATAAATATAAAGACTATTATAACCCTGAAATAAATTAAAATTACAAAAATACCATAATTTTCGCCCCAAAACGACGTCGTATGGGACTTACTACAAATAACTTATCTGCAGTAACTGCAAAAAAAACGAACCCTTATATAATAGTTGATAGGGAGAGTTATATTTACAATTTTTTTATTTACAAACTATTAAAAATTATACTATGTACTTCCAGGAGTATATAGTGTAATTTATAAAAATTTGTAAAAAAAATTTGGAAACGGATTGTTCTAAAAACTACTATGGTGATTGCCTTCTCTCTTTATTTATTTTTTGGTAAACTGGTGATTACCCTTTTAAATTTATAAAGATTTAAATATGAATGTAAAAAATGATAAATATATCTTATTACTTGTTATAAATTTTAAATTTTAAAATTTTGTAAATACATATTATTACTCATTTAAATTTATAAAGACAAAAAGGATAAAAGAAAAAATATTATAAAGTTATCTTAGATAACCTTATCTGCGGCGCGTGATTTTAATTTTGTCTTATAATTAAGATATAATTATAATGATCAAAATATTTTTTTTCTCTCTGTCACGTCAGCTGACAATATCTGAGTAGAGAAAAAAATAATAATTTTGTTATTATAATTATGTCTTATTGATAAGACATAATTTATCTAAAGTAAATGTAAAAAAAAATTAACGCAAAGGATAATATTATAAATATCTCTTACTTTTCCAACACTCATTAATTTCTCACTGCAATTATAGCATGTTTCGAACTTTTTATTGTCATTATTTGTTTCTTTTGTCAATCGTTTTACAGTGCTTTGAAAATAATTAAATCCATTTAATTTGACTGAAATAAAATTACAGTTTTAGGAAGTATTTTCTCAAACGAAAAACATCCCTCATTTTACCAACGAATTTTCAGCATTTAATATGTTCTATTGGATATTGTCAAAAGATAAGAGTGCGTATGACTCGAATTAAATTGAAATTTTTGAAAAATCGAATGAATTGGTATAAACGGTTCAATTCAAAAATAATTTGGTTCAGTTCAAAATTAATCGATTCAATTTGAAAATAGTTCAATTCGGTTGAAAATAATTCGGTTCGAAACAAGTTCGGTTCGATTCGAAACTAGTTCGGATCGATCTTATTCTAAAATTAAAAAATTAAAGAAAAATAATAATAAAAATTAATTCAATTTAGTTCAAAAATAATTCGATTAAAGAACTGATTTTAAAAATCACTTTCAGTTTATAAACTAATTTTTAAAAACTAAATATTTTAAATACAGTTTTGTTCAATTGACGATTCGATTTATTTATTTATTTTGATTATTTTACACATCGGGGTCAAAAGATCACCTATGTTACGTAAGGGACAAATGACATTTAATTTGTAATGGTGGGAAGCGTGATCCGTGCGAAGAACTGTCGGTTGAGAGATACAATTTGTTTCTAGTGAATTTATTGCCATATTAATATCCGACATTAAAATCAATACTGTGGAATTGCTTTCTATAAATATCTGGCGGGTTATTTAATAATAATTTTCATGAAAATTTTTTAACTTTTAGCATATGATCTCCACACACTTTTATATATGTGTAAAAAATAAATTTATTTTTTACAACAACAAAAATATTAAACCCGTATAAATATATATAGGGTTTATTTTTCTAAAGTTACTTTAGATAACTTTAATGTTCACCGAAACAACATGGTTTTGGGGCGAAAATCATAGTGTTTTTGTAATTTTTATTTATTTCAGGATTATAGTAGTCTTTATCATTCTAACCTTTTAATTTTTTAACTCCAA